TATCTATCTATCTATCTATCTATCTATCTATCTATCTATCTATCTATCTATCTATCTATCTATCTATCTATCTATCTATCTAAGGAGCCTGTTCAGAACAGGGGGAAGTGAAACTGGAGGATATATCGGGGATATCCTACCAACTCTCCTCAGACTGAAAAAGCTCCTTGGATGAGTAGCGAAATGTTTCAATCTAGCAAGAAGTCCAGTTGCCATGACTGAACTTCCAGATAATCTCACCTGGATGACTGAGAATCTTCACAGATATGCCATTCACAAAGGGACACCAATTAGGGGGAAATTGACACTTGTTGAAAAACAGCCCCAACAATTGCTTTGTGTTAAGATAAAAAGTGATTAACTGATGAAAAAAGGAGTCAGCTTCTGCGAATTTCCCCTTTGTGGTGTCACTTTGTGAATGGTAGTGAGCACAAGAAGGTATCCTGACTGCTGCAGCTGGTGTTGTCAACATTCAGGCTGCCCTTTGCTGTGTGAAATCCTGAGATAATGTTTACTGAAAGTGCTAGAACAACATCAACAATAAAAGCTACTATCTGTTTTGTTGAGGTAAGGGGAAATATTTTCAATATGCCTTACAAAATTGTATGTTAATTGCCTGAAGATACATATAAAGCCCTAAACGGTTCAGGACCTCAATATCTAGCGGAACGCCTCCTCCCACCTAGATCTACTTGAATAACTCGTTCTAGCCAGGAAGAGCTGGGTGTTTTTAACAGCCAACTTAAAGTCTGGCTCTTTAGGCAGGCTTTCCCTCCTGTCATCACTTGATTATTTTTATCTTTTCCCCATCTTGAACGATATTACTATTGTTGTTCTCTATTTTATTATATGGCTTTTATGCTATTTTTAATTGTTAGCTGCCCAGAATAGACTTGGGTCTAAATGGGTGGGTATAAATTTAATAAATAAGTAAAAAAATTTCCCATTTCTGAAGGACTGTCACTTCGTTACTTTCTTTAAAGCAGCCCTGTTTTTTTACTCTTTAAAGAACACCTGACTTGTCAGTCTGTTTCTATAATCTTTCCAAAACACTCTCCTCTTGCCTGTGAGTGTATACAATGTTTCATTTTCTGAACATCCTTCTTATAACAAAGTGGCCATTTTCCCCATTTGAAAGGCCTTTTGTGATGATCAATATTTCAGCCTGTGCAGCCTGGATTCTTTCCAAATCCTGCTTTCCAAAAAGCAGGTGATGCCAACCATTCTCATTCAAGATAAGCAAGATTGGTCTTTGCAATTTATGTGATCTGTTTGGGATCACCTATTTCTGAATGGGATGATAAAACCTGCTGTCTAAATTTCCCCACATTTGGCACAAAGCAAGAGCAGACTGTCTGCTACACCTGTGCCAGATGTGGTGCTGATCTAAAGCCCAATATCAACGTTATATATATATATATATTTTGTTTAGGCTGCCTTCGCTTTTAGAATTACCTTGTAGAATGTTAATTTGTTGCACTCTCAGGCAATAGAATAGAATAGAATGACAATTTTTAGTACAGTTCAATGCACAGCAGTTAACATCTGAAGGGACAAAAAGAGCGCTAAGCTATAATATTTCGAAATGAAATGAGTTCTGCAGCCCATTTCAAGTGATGTGTCCTTCTAGTATGCAGTTATCATACCTCATTATGTTACAGAAGAATAAGATCTAGAAAGTTCATTCATTTGATTATTACTATTGTGACTTAAACATATCCCTGTCTCTTTGAAGGATTATGATTCTATCGTGAAACTGGTAGAAGCATTAGAAAAACTTCCGACCTTTGATTTGGCTATGCATGATCATGTGAAGTTTCATTATGCATTTGCACTGAACAGGTAAGAACTTTCTCTCGAAATGAAATTACCACTCTTTATGTGGGTTTTGAGTAATTCAATGCCTTCCATGCAACAAAGAAGCATAGCTTTGTCTTCGGTCACAATATGATACTCAACTCATACATTTGCATCCATTCTATCTCCATCACCCTTTCTTCTGCTGCACTGTGTGAGTGACAGCTGGCTTTCCATTGGTAATCAGTGTTTAATGTTCCATTTTACACATGATTAGGAAAGTAGTTTGAGCAAACACAACATGAAGAAACAAATGTTGATCAAGTAGTCCATGAAACATAATCAAAAGCATAAAGCAAAAAATCATCATGAGTCTGCCTGAACAGGATGATACAGAGTTTGGGAGTGTACATATATAAAATGTCCACATGTCTAATGTTAGCTATTCTAGTTTCGTTTGATATAACAGACTATCAAGCTATGTTTTAGGGACAAAAACACTTCTCTATAAAAAAGAGGCAGAAGGGGAAAGTCTTTTTTTTATATGACTTCATTATATCTTTTTCTAATAGATTAATTGCTTGCTTTAAGTGATTTAAAGTTTGTCTGCATTTATCCTTTGAAATCTTTGAGCAGATAGCTGTTTACTGTGGATAATAATTTTGAAAAACCCATTAGTGATCATTTTATTATTAAAACCAATGGCAATGCTAATCTAAAATTTACATTTTCATCCATTAAGAATGACAGTGTGAGTCGTGTGGTGTGAAGACAGATACTCTGAAGTGCCTGTCTCTTGTTGGTAATGCTGCCGCTGTTTCCTGGCAACTTCCATTTTATTTCCTATGATAATTTCTATGATTGGATGGGAAACGGACCAAAATGGCCTCTCATAAGAAACAGAAGCAAACAGCAAGAGGAAGGGGGCAACTGAAAGGGCTCTGAACTGTTGGCTTTTTTTCCTTTTCAGATTTGGAAGCTCTATCCCAAGAGTTTGAAATCAAGTTTGAGACTTATGGACATAATTTTGTTTTGTTTTTTTAAATTCCTCTAAGCTTGTTTTCTATGACTCCAAAATACTGGCTTCAGATTGTAGGAAGGAGACTTTGGCATTAGGAAGAACATTCTGACAGTAAGAGGTGTCCAGCTGTGACATAGACTACCTAACATCATTAGTGATTTTTAAACAGGGGTTGGGTAGCCATCTGTCAAAGATGCTTTAGCTGAGGATTTGCTCCTTTGGCAGGGGATTGGACTCAATGTCACTTGGGGTCTCTCCCAGCTCTACATTCTATGGTTCTATAATTTCCCATCTCCTTTTCTTTTTGTGCCATGTCGTTGAAGCAGTGGTGTGATGGTAAATTCAAAAATGCAGATGATCAGTATCACCACTCCCTTCTACAGGGGGAGTTTTAAAAAGGCAAGCAGCTGGATCAGTCTATATCAGCTGATGGCCAGATGGTGGCAAAGGAGTTCTAACAGTTTTTGTTTACAAACGGCTCTTAATTGTCCATTCAATACCAAGCCACCCTCAAATTTATTTTATTTATTTGTTTATTTACTTTATTAGATTTATACCCCACCCAACTAAATGAATGGTCTACTCTGGGTGGCATCAAACTACTCAAACACTTTGCATTACGACAGAGATACCTTGCAACATGTGTGTGAACTTTATGTTCCTGGGAAAATCAGTTTCTCTCCTAGCTACTGCAAGCACTGCTGCTAAGTTTGGGAGTGTGGATCGGTATAAGAGGGATGGCAGACGATGTCATAGTTCCTGTTGTTCAGAACATTTCAGGCCTTTGACCCTGCAAGCCCCTGGCTGCAGTACCCCATTGTATTCAAGATTGCCAGCCTGAGAGTAAGGTCCTTCTTGTCTTTTTTTAAAAGTTATTGCTAATTTGAATGCCTCGCTGAGAACCTTTCCAGCTGTCTAGCTTAAATGGTAACAATAAACAAATATATAGGCTGTTCTTTTTTTTTATCCCAAGGGCCAGCATCATAGAGCTGTACATTTTTAATAACCCTCAGTATTAACTATGTGTGTGAGATACTCTTGACTATTCCAAGAAAGAGACTTTTTCTTTCACCCTGAAATGACATTCTCCTTTGACAAAGGGACAAAAAAGGTCACATGAGTTTATTACTCAAAAAGAAACCTACTGTGAACAAGGTGTTAGATTTAATTGTTGGGCCCATGCCATGTATGTTCAATAAGCACAATACAAAGTGGCAAATGGGTAGAAGACAGATGGGAAGCCTACACTGCAGAAATATCTGAACATATGTTACCACCATCTAGTTGGTAGGTTACATTGACACAGAACATACGTACTTATCATGAAATAGATGCTATATTAAAAGGATCTTTGGCCTATTTTAGCCATATTGAAGTACTCCTACCACTCCGTTTCTCTGACGGAAAACTAGGGACAGAACAGAAGTAAAATATTTTAGGAAAATCGAGAATTGCTTATTATTTCCCTGTTTAGACGTTCTTCATTTTGCTCTTCATTTTATAATACTAAAAAGGAAAAGAAGGAACTAAACATGTTCCTTGATTTTTTTTTGTCCAGGGAAAAATGTCCAGGATGTACACAATTTCTCTGTAGGACAGCTTTGACAATATAGAGAAGATCATTGTGTGCGACAGTTGTGCATGTTGTTTTGTTGCAAAGGCACACACTGTGCTTGCTGCAAAAGAGATATGACTTTGTGTGCTGTCTGTGGGCTTTTCCCTACACAGAAGTGCTATGTATGTGGTAGTCATGGTACTGGTCATGCTCGAAGCAGCATGGTATTAGGCAAAATTTGTGGAACTTGATTGCATTTGAAGCAACACTGTGTTTCAGCAAAATCTCCATAAATATGAGATCAGCCAAGAAATGAATGTATGTATGTATGTATGTATGTATGTATGTATGTATGTATGTATGTATGTATGTATGTATGTATGTATGTATGTATGTATGTATGTATGTATGTATGTATGTATGTATGTATGTATGTATGTGATGGTCACAAGGACATAGAATGGAAAGACTTTTCAGAATTGATCACTGTGGGGAACAGACAATTCATACACTGGTTAATCAAGTAGTTTAATATTTAAGCTTTCCTTGTCAGCTACAGTAAGCAAATGTTGATTGCTCTTGAAAAGCCAACATCATCTTGTTGAAAAGCTACAACTGGTATCCTTACTATTCATTGGCCAGAATCTTATTGCTTAGGGTCGTAAATCATATTAGAGTAGGTCAATTCTACTCTGATTCAGTGGGCTTACTCTAGTCTAATGTACTACATTGAACAATAGGATTTTGGCTGCTCTCTATTATTTCAATTTATTGCATTTCAACTTATTGGACTCAAATACAAAGAGAGAAATAGTTTCTAATATCTCAGTGAGAGCACACAGTGTGTGAAATATTACATTTTATGTATACAGTACATTACAGCTGCCCATGGGATTTCTATAGTATAGTTGTCTGGGAACAACAGGAAATAAAATAGTATGTGTGTTTTTAGTCAACAAAATCATTAATATATACTAGGACGCTGATTCCTTCTCTCCCTTTTCCCATACATTTTCTAGCCCTACCTATACCATCATTGTGTGTTGCCTTTTAAACAAAGTGAAGTAATCAGAGGCTTACAGTTCTTACTGTTATTTCACAAAGTCTTTGGTTGCTGTTTTTAAAATAACAGACGAAATCTACCTGGAGATAGGCAGAAAGCACTAGACATTATGATACCTCTAGTGGAGCATGAGACTCAAGTGGCTTCAGATATGTACTGCCTCGTGGGACGAATCTACAAAGATATATTTCTGGATTCTGGATTTACAGACATAGAAAGTAGAGACCAAGGGACCTTGTGGTAAGTAGAACTTTTCTGTATGCCAAAATAGTTCAATTTTTTTAAAAATGAAAATAGCTGCTGATATAGATGGAAACCTGCCTACTCCAGTTTTTCAGGGAGTGTATTCCCATTTCTAAAAATCCATTATTATACAAACACTTAATTTATAATATAATGAATCAATAAGAATCTAGTCAACTTCTAGGCACTTCTGAAGATGTAGCTCAGCCAGATTATTATGCCCAGGTAATGTCTGTATATCTAACGCACAGTTCTTTGGATATTATAATATTAGTATGTTAACCATTTTTGCAAAATGTTCTTTTAAAAAAATGTCTTAATTAAATTATTCAATTAACATTTTTTCTATTAAAATATTTTTGTTATCTTAAATTAAATTAAGACAATTAAAAATTGTCTTAAATTATTCAATTAACATTTTTTCTATTAAAATATTTTTGTGATGTTTGCATAATATGTGAAATTCAGGCTATACATTACAGTTTTTTAAAAGCTCTGCTTCTTGGTTGTACGTCAAACAAAATGTGGTAAATCCGATACCAGCCAGGGAATCCGGATCATCAACTCTAGCTAATATTAGACATGCCTGACAGTGCTAGCTCTGTTCAATGCATAGGATCCCAAATTGTATGTGTATAGAATTGTAGCCTTAGCTACATTTACCTGGATCAGATTCTTTGTGCCTGCCTTCTTCTTTTCACAAGAAGTGAAAAACTGTGAATAATCACACCTCCACTGTGGTTTATTCAAGTCATGCTGAGAGATAATAGATTAAATGCATGCAGAAAAGGGTGTTCTGTGTGGTTCCTCATAGCTGTGGAATGTCCTTTCCCCATAGCTGATCCTTTTTCCAGCTTCTAGAAAAGGCTCTTTGCCCCACCAATGATGGGAAATGACTGAATGTTCTATTTGCTTTAGCCAGAGTCCATAAAAAATACAGCCTGCAGAAGTATCTTTACAGCTTTAAAAAAAATGATTCCATTTACAGATGTCTCTCTTTTTTTGCAATAAAATTCCTGTTGGATTTTGACAACAGATGTAGCAAATATAATCTTCCCCTTTGTAACAGTTTTAGTTGAATTTTGGAAGCAGATATCACATCTTATTTTGGCATTCAAAAGCTTTCTGAAAAAAATCCGGCAATCTATTTTGTAGTAAACTCTGTTTGTTCTTTTCTTACCCTCTTGTAGGCTGCACAGCATCAAATAAGGAAGGTTTTTACTTCACTATTCTCTTTTATCATCAGCTTTAGATTACCATCCTGTTTGCATTATGAACTGCATCTAAGGGAAATCAGTAGATCGGTTGTTCTACGACAAGTGTCACACATATATTTTGTTTCATATGGAAGCCATGACTGATGGAAGCTCTGTGTGGATCTGTGTAGCTTTCGTCATTTCTTTTCATGATCTGCTCTCCAGGATGAGAGAACATGACATGGTGATCAGATTTTTATTAAAATCACTGCAGAAATGGCAGGTTAATTATTTGTTGCCAGGTTTATCTCAGACACAATGCTGCTGTTCTTTTACCTGGTCAATCAGGCAAATGGATTTTTTCTCCTTCTCATTAGGAGCTGGGTGATCAAGGTTATTGGCCATCCTAGGTGTGGGCCCAAGATTGATGGGGATTCAAAAACAGTTGACAGATGACAAAAACAGTTGGTGAAAACCCATTCATGAAGTTGGTGCAGCCATGAAAACGGCAGTCGGTAGCAAAAAGAAAAAGTAAACAAAAGAAAATAGATGCTGAAGTCTGAAAAGCTAAAAATAAGTCATTGTTGTTAGTTGCTTTCAGCTTATGGCATCTCTATAAAATAGTGCCATCCCCAAAGTTCTGCCTTTAAAAGCCCTGCCAAGGTATTGTGAACTAAAGACAATGACTTCCTTTATTAAATCCATCCATCTAGTCACCCATCTGCTAGCAATAAGTTGTAGCAGAATATTCAACAATCTTACTCTACATGGTCAGAGCATTTAAAGAGGTATGCTGGTGCATAAATATTGGATTCAATTTTATGGTGAACCTGTAGTTCATTATAATTAGGAATTATTGGGAATATACTTTCATGTAAAATGGCGTTCCCTAGTCATGCTGGTCACGAGGCAACGGAAACTGTCTTAGGACAAGCACTGGCTCTACGGCTTGAAAACGGGATGAGCACCGCCCCCTAGAATTGGACATGACTGGACTAAAAATGTCAAGGGGAACCTTTACCTATATACTTTCATGTGGGCTCTTATTTTGCTTATCATAACTAGCTGTGATATAATGGTAAAGGAATTTGGGATAAGGCTGGGTCTAAAGTTTTGGCCAGTGAGCTTTCAGCTCGGCAAGATAGTGGAACCCTCATTAGGCCGCAATCATGGAAGCAGTTCCTCCTCACTCTGTTCCATTTGCCTCCATCTGATGGCGTGGATAGATAGTGGAGTGATGCTGCTGGTCACATTCCTTGCTCAAGTGAGCAGTCAACAGTTGTGACAGAAACCACTCACACATCTTTTCCTAGGCAATGGCTTCTCTTTCTTCTGCTGCCAAATGCCACCATTTCACTGAGCAAGTGATCAGTCAAACCAGGTAGGAGCACCCGCTGCCTCACAGGAAGTGGGGGCAAGTGTGTGAGCAGCCACCGCTCCCAATGATATTTGCTGCTTGTCTGAATTGATTGGCAGAGGGAAGAGGCCTGGTTATTGCTGCCTTTGTTCTCTCTGTGGTGGAAGCAGAATGTTGTTGAATCACTGTAGAAATCTCTCTTGTCTCAGCACCAAACTGGTTAAGCATTGTGGCAGACGAGACAGCAGAAGCAGCTGTCACCCTAGGTAGAAGCATAACATCAAAGAGGAGGTCCTGAACCTTGTGGGAAAAAGTGTGTGTGTGGGGAGAAGGTAGGTAGTCCTACTTCTTGGGGGTGCTCAGCAATTTCTGATGCTCTGCCTGCATCAAAAGGCCAAAACAATTGTGGCTATGCTTAGAATGATGTGCTTCTACTTTTTCCTGTGAATCATCCAAGAAGGAATCCCCATGTCTGCCTATGAATAGATTTCCAGTGGAAAATGAGTGTCACCTGGCAGTTATTTAGAGAGGAAGCTAAAGTTACGCTGGAAGAGTGAAACTGGTCTCTATCCTTCTCCATTCCATGCTTTGTTTGCTCTTTTTTTCTGTTTGGCAGTTTGTTGGTTTTATTTTAATTATTGTTATACAGTACTGCTAGGCAAGAGATCTGTTCTGGATCACTGGTTGTGCAATCCCTCATCCTCCACAACCACCTAATCTTAAGTAGCCTTGGAGGGCATTTTACTCACAGTCTTGCAACAAGCAGGATGATCAAAATGATACCGGGTTCAAGAGTATCAAGAATCCCAAGACTGTTTAGCTACATGGTACAATTTCAGTTCAATTGTGCTTTCAGATTGACTCCCAGCGGTGTGTGTATGTGCAATCAGATCAGAAAGAGGTATTGCAGTTTGACAGCTTCTTAATGTAAAAACCACCTTAGGGAAACACTTGTTCCTGGTAGTTTATTTAGCTAAATTTTGTATGTGGCCAGAACCCTATTATTATGTACGCTGGTGTAAGTCAAATGACATAAATTGCTGTGGGAAATTGCTGCTGGTTAGGAAGGCAGTGCTTGTATTTTTCACCGCATGTGACTTGTATGAAACAAGAAATGGAAGCCTTAACGTCTTAACTAGTGGCCATTCATCTCTGTGATCTCAGAGTTTATACCAACACTTGTAAATATGATTCTGGCCTACATTTCTGAAGAAGTGGTTTGCAATCCTCAAAGGCTCATACTGAAATGAACCTGTTAGTCTCAAAGGTGGTTGTTGGCTTTTCTGAGTGATGCATGCTGAAAACAGAGTAACATCATTACGTCTTTGGAAATTCGTTAGTGTCTTCAGTGTCGTATTTGATGGTGGTGTTGGTTGTGGCAGCAGCAATAATAGTTCCCATAGCACTCAGGGTGTTGGAGTATTCCTTCCTCATGGGTTCTGCACATAAGATAGCGCTAAGCTCTGTTTCTATATTATTCTCAGCTTTCTACTTGAAATGGGACTGTGGTGGCACTGCAGGTTAAACCGCAGGAGCCTCTGTGCTGCAAGGTCAGAAGACCAGCAGTCATAAGATTGAATCCACGCAACGGAGTGAGCTCTTGCCGCTTGTTCCAGCTCCTGCCAACCTAGCAGTTCGAAAGCATGCAAATGCAAGTAGATAAATAGATATCACCATGGTGGGAAGGTAACGGCGTTCCGTGTCTAGTCGCGTTGGCCACGTGACCATGGAAACTATCTACAGACAAACGCTGGCTCTATGGCTTGGAGATGGGGATGAGCACTGCGCCCTAGAGTTGGACACAACTGGACTAAATGTCAAGGGGAACCTTTACCTTTACACACACTGATACAGGTTATTTAGCCGTTCCTCTCTTATCTAGCTTCCCCCCTTTTTGTTTCTCATCACAAAATTGTTATCAGACTAAAGAGGTCGAAGCCTGGATGAGCACAGGGAATGCCATAAATAGTCGCTTTCAATCTTGTTTTGTGGTCATGATAGAGAGATTTAGGCAGAAAGTTATGCTCATGTTCTCACTGTTTTCTATTTTCCAAATAAATAAAATCTTGTTTTCCGCAGCATTACTCCACTACTGTCTAAATTTGTTTTAAAAGCAGGGGGAGTGAAAGAGGTAATCACATTTCTGGCATATGCATGTTTCAGGTTCATTCTTCAGCCCCCACCCCTTTGTTTTTACTTTGCTTGGCCTTGCAGAGTGAACACAGATGTTTGCTTAGGCTGTATTCCTTTTTGTACCTTGCCGTGTTCAGCACAGAATTGGAAATAGGACGGTGCCAATAATTTTCAGTTTTTTAGGGCTGAGAGATCTTATATATCAAAGTGAATTATTTTGAGAACTTAAACGTTACTCAGAAACCTAGGATTGTAGCCAGCTGGTGTGTGTTCCAGTGAGAAGACGAACTGTGTGGCAGAGGTGGAATCACACACACACATACACACACACACACACACACTGAAAAAAAACCCTCCTCCCTTTCCATTTTATTTATTTTACTCACTATATATTTATTATATTTCTAACATGCCCTATACCAGCAGATCTCAGGTGTGATGTGCTTTTGTTGAGAGAAATGTCCACCAATGAAACTTATTTTAATCAGTGGAGGGGCACCCAATGAGTAGGAACCACAATGCCAAAGGCTGATGACATCAGTTGGGAGAATGACATCAATTGGGAGATTTTGTTTGAAATTAAATATTTCCTCATCCTAGCCTCTGGCCCTCAGTAGATCTCAAGGAATCCCTTCCATCCTCAGGAGCCCACAAAGGCTGTGGGACGGGAGGGGTAATTTTTTATTTCTGAAAATCAGGAATGCTGGGATGATTTCCTGGCAGTGGTGATTTTTGGTAATTAAAGACTTCCTCCTCTCATCCTCCAGTTCCCACAAGTCCCCAACAACAAAAAGGAATTGCTCTGAGCCTGCGAGGGCTGAGAGATGGGAGGAGTAAAGCTTTAGTTTCTAAAAGAGATGTCTTGGAACTTACATATGCAAGATATAAGCCATTGTACCCCACCAGACTTTCTTTTTTAAAGTACAGGATGGTAACTTAGTGGGAGAAGATGTCTGGTGAAGCTGGAAAACATTAATTGCTGAAACCCAAGACAGTGGCTTCCTGTCACTATGTGATAACCAGCACTAAGCTAGATGGAAAGTGGTCTGACATTCCTGTTTTGTTTCAGACCTGGCCTTCCCAAGATGTCATTTAAAAGATGACAAGGATTTGGGAGCTTAAATCTTGCTCTCCCTGGTCCTCTGTGGCATACAAATCCATGTTCTCTAGCAGGGGAAGCTATGGGATGGGATTTTGCAATGGGAGATGGGTCTCCTCACTCTGAATTTCATAATGGACAAATCCATGGAAGATAAATCTTTCCGTGGCTTCTACTCATGATAGTACAGTATTATGCTATTATTCAGTTGCTGAGACACAGCGACAGGGGAGGGCCGTGACACTTGTGGGATTCCCTTGGACATTGAGTTGGCCTCTGTGAGAATAAGCTTTTAATCAGATCTTGCAGCAGGCTTTTATGTTCTTGATGTTGCTATTGCTAAATATTGGACTGTAAACATTTTAAACAGTCTCTTTCACTCTGAGCAATGTTAACATTTTTTTCAAGCACATCTCTGTTCAGCCTTATTGCTCCATCAGTTTGTAAAAAAAAATTTCTTAAAGTTTAGGATGATGATTTGCATGTGTTTTCATGAGCAGGAAAAACACAATTTGCAATACTATTTCCCCATCGTGCACCTTTTAAAAAAAATCTGGAAGCTATAAAAAAATTTGAATAAGTAGGAAAACGAAAAGGCGATTCATGTGCATCTTAGTATGGGAAGTATGAATTCAGCCATTTTGTATTACAAACAATTTTCACTCCGCTCCCTATTCTTCAATATTGCATATACGTATCTTTACTTCTAATTTAGAATAATGTATAACTCTTGAGTTTATTTCCATAGTTTTCCAGGATCATTGAACAATCAGTTTTTCAATAAAAGTACGAAGGCTAGTTCCTGCCATCAGTATGAATCTATAATGTGTGGGTTTTAGTCACAATATTAATATCAAAAGCATTTTAATGGTAATTTATGTATATATATCAGAATTTATATATATATATCAGAATCATATAAACACATACGAATGTGAAGAAAATGGCAGGAGGATGCTGTAAATTCTGGCCTTCTCAAATAACCAAGCTATCTGGATGGTAAACAGCACAATATGTTATACTTGAATAAGTTGGTGGACTTGAGCAAAGGGGTGGTCAGCATTACAAGTACCCAAAAAAGTATAACTGGCTCTTTGCAAGATTGCTTCATTTAACTAATAACAAAAAGCAGCTGCAATAATATATGTGTTTGTTCTTCTAGGTTCAAGAAGGCATTTGAGTCAGAACCAACATTACAGTCAGGAATTAATTATGCAGTACTACTCTTGGCTGCTGGGCACCAGTTTGATACATCTTTTGAGCTGCGGAAAGTTGGTAATTATAGCCTGTCAATGCACAGGCAAATCAGAGAATTTTGTAGGAAACAATCTGATGAATGTGATCAAGAGTCCCTTGTTTGCTAGCAATCAGGCACTATTATTTTAGGCTACCCCATTGCTCCTACCATTGCGATAGTCTTAAATGAAGTTGGTTTTCTGTCTTAAATCTCTCACACAGAGGCAGAAATACCAATGCAATGATCTGGTAATGAGCATCAGTAGCTCACCAGGATTCAGCTTTCATTAGTGAGGCCCTGAATGCTGTTGTTTTCCCGATGCTTCGTATTTTTGAGTGGAATACCTTACACTTACAATAAATGCAGCATTCGCAGTAATAGTTACTACAAAATGTCAGTTTCCCATAAATGCAAAGCTTGGTATCGAAACTACTATAGCCGATCAGGACTGTTTTGGAGCAGGTTGGAGCGGGCTAAATAGGGTCACTAGGAAGTCCAGTATGCCATTTGGTGCAATATACACCTGAAGCAACTTTGTTTTGCCTGCTGCCAATTTGCCAGTGTTGTGAAGTGGCTTAGAAAGAGAGCCACTTCAGGATACTGTACTTATAAATTAAATACTTTGTGAGCTCCATGGAGGGGCTGAGGAAGTGTGAATTTTTTTAAAAAGTGTATTAGGGCAGCTTATATGTACTACATCACTTTAAAAAAATTAAAATAAAAAACAACTTCTTCCTGGAAGTGGAAAGAGACAGGAAGGGCAATGAGGGGGATTTTTGCTTGCTTTTCTCATGAAGGTTCAGTCAAGAGTAGGTTGAGAAAAGCAAACAAAAATCCATCTTATTGCCCCTTCCTGTATCCCCCTGCTTCTGGGAGGAAGTTTTCCATTTGGCATTTATTTTTTTAAAGTGACACAGTCCATATGTGCTGTCACAATGTACTTTAAATTTTTTAACTTCCTTGCCCATCTAGAGAACTGAGGAGTGTTTAATTCTTTTTCAACCACGTCATTATATTGGCAATCCTAACAGGAAGGCTCACTTTTGGATCATTTTTAGCAGTTGCACACTCTGGAAATGAACTAAAACAGAGCAATTCTACCCACACCAACAGAAGTTGAAATCCCTGACAAGTAAGACCACTGTGGATCACTCCAGCAAAGACATCAGTTGATTGTTGTCTTCAGGAGTGAATCAATCTATCCTTGCAGTACACCAAAAAGAGGCCACTATGTCCGTCACCTTCTGATTTTCTATATGCCTAGTTTGGTTTCCTGATTATCGATGGAAACTCCATTAATTTTTATGGGGCTCCCACTGAAGCATCAGTGAAATAAATGTTCAGTAGTAGTGTCTTGTAGATTCTTCTTTTGATTACCTGTTGCTCTTTTTACCAGTCCCAACAAGTTTTGCTAATGTTCACTATGTTTATTTTGAAATAATATTCGGTAGTTAATAGATCCTGACTTAACCATGGAAAGCTGTGGGCCAAGTTTGTCATTATTAGCATCTGTCCCATTGAGTCTATTCTAAGCATGATTCTGTCTGGATCCAACTCAAAGAGTTTAAAAAGTGGGTGAATGAATGCAAATTGTGAATGATGAAATTGTGCAATTAATGGACCAGGGACAAAGCTTTACAATATGTTGACTGCAGCTTCTTTTGGTTGTTGTGTTTTATTTTGATATCAGTATTTTTTGAGTGTGTGCAACAGGGGTGGGCAAGGTTTTCAAATCCTAATTTAAATCTGTGGCCCCACCAGCCTCCACAAGTGGCCAAACACTACCATTTTAAAAAGTAGCTGGACAGGCACTTCAGTTTTGTTAGGAGTTTTTAAAGGGGTGTGGGAATTTTGGATGACCGCACCAAGACCTAGAAGCAGAATGCCAGTTGCCCAGGAGGTGTTTTGTAGCTGAAAGAAAAGGTTGAGGAGATTTGAGCTTGAGAGGCTCTGGGGCAGTCTTTGAGATGAGAGAAATGTCTCTGGAGGGCTGAGAGCTGTACTTTGCTCATAACATGTTTCTTATAAAAATATTTAAAATGTAAGGTGAGACAGATGCACACTATCCCAACAATTGTATGTGCTAGGATGGTTGGTTCAGAATCATGTGAAGGTGCCAATTTGATTTTCACATTCTGTTGCCTGAGGTTGCAATTAAGCAGAAAATGAGAGGGCAAAGCAAGAGAAAAGAAGAAGATCAGTTTGCAAACCAGAACAAAAATATCAGCTTTTGCAGATGATTACACACATTTTGAGGCCCTACTGATTTCACTTGGGCGTAGGTGTTCATTGCCATAAGCTTTGAATGGGAGCTACAGTCTCACACACTATTTTTCTTTCCCATATCTGCAGGAGTGAAGATAAGCAGCCTGCTTGGGAAAAAAGGAAACCTGGAGAAACTGCAGAGTTACTGGGAAGTAGGCTTTTTCCTAGGAGCGAGTGTCCTGGCAAATGATCACACAAGAGTGATTCAGGCTTCAGAAAAACTTTTCAAACTAAAGACACCAGCATGGTAAGATACTGAACAGTTGTATCATCCAAGCATATTATATCAAAATACATTTCTCCCTTGAATTGCACGGGTCTCAGCTATACAGTTTTGGTTATACACAGATTTCCCCCGCCCAATAAATAAATAAATATTTCAGTAAATAAATATTCAATGAATACTATGTCTCTGGCCACCCAGAACCAGGGGCATGAGTTCAGCACCAAAGGTGTTGAAGTGGCCCACCTGCCCACAAACACAACATCTCTAATCCAGTTTCTAGATTACGGTCATAAGAACCTTTTAAGGCTCGTTGCACATGGTAGTGTATGGATGTGATTGTCAATGCTATGGAAGAGAATCCTGATAAAGAGAATTCTATAGAAAGATAGAGAGGTTCAAAATGTCCCTAGTAACTCATAATTCAATAGGCTTCAGACTGCTGATATGAACAGCCACAAGGTTTATTGCTTGCTGACTTGGAGATACAGAAGTAGAGGCTGCGTCACTCTGCTCCTGAGTGGGTAGTACACTAGGAGGCTCACTTCCCAACCCTAGGCCCTGTTGCACAGGCTCTCCTGCATGTCCTCTACTTAAGTCCACTGGGGAAAGAGGAGAGCTCTGAGTCACAAGTCCAAGCAGCTGGGGTGCTCCAGCATGCCACGGGCTCTTCTCAAGAATGGTGGGCAAAAGCAGCTGAACAATATCTGCTGGTTCCCTTTGAGTCCTCCTGAAGCCACCACCTCTCTTTCTGTTGCTTGTGACACCAGTGCTGGCACTGCTTCAGGGTTGAGGCAGCAGGACCCATTGACTTCCTGAGTCACTAGATGGATGCTGGTTGAGGTAAGGACTCTGGTGGGGCAAATATGGGAGCACCAGCACCTCACCATTGCCCTTTAGCTACTGATACCTCTACCAAGACGGCTCGCCATGAGTCTTCATTTAGCCAGTACTTGGAAGTTCCACTCAGCATGAAATAAGCTCTCCAAGAGTCTTCCTTTAGCCAGTACAGTGGTGCCTTGCATAACGATTTCAATTGGTTAAAAAAAAAAAACACGTTATGTGAAACACCATTTATCAGCTCTTCTGCAACTTCTCCCCAGGTTTGTTCACTGTCCAAAATAACCCCACCACATTCCTCAAGCTGTGAAGAAGGAGTCCCTGCTCTTTCTCGCCAGCCTCCTGCTCTTTCCCTTTTATTTCCTCCTCAACTTTGCCCGTGTGTTCTCCCAACTGAACCTTGTTGCTGGACCCCTCAGCAGCTGGCAGCTCTCCTTCCACCTTGTCCTCCTGGGGTCCACATGTTGTCTTCCTTTTGGTGCCCTCAAAGGAGCAGGAGGCAAGGATGGATATTTCATGCCCTCTGTCCTGTGGGACTGGAGCCACTAGAGCCGATTCTCCTTGCATGGGATAGTTTCTGAGCCAAAAAAGTGTCTGTGTGGAAAAAATATTCACACACACAAGACTAGGAAGGGGCATAATACAAGTCATTGTGAAAGCCTCCTCATTTTAATCAGACAGGAAATTGAAGTGTCAGTGTTAGAGTGACTCTTATAGTGGTTACACTGAAATGTGACAAACCCTAATTAGGGAATTGGGGATAAAATTTAGAGTACTGGATTAGAGAAAACTTTATTCACTTCGCTGTTTGAACATGAAACTACCAAGTGATCTTGAGGCAGTCAAACTCTCTGAGCTTCACATTGCCTCCCACGATCATTGTGGTGAGGATAAAGTGAGGATGATGAGATCCATGTGTGTCACTAGAATTTTCCATTGCAACTACCTTACAAACATTTATCTATATATACATTGAGGCAACCCATGTAATCATTTTTGAGGCAGTTTGAAATGTTCAGCTCTCTTCCAGTCCAGAATGGTTGTTAGGGCAAGTTCTGTTGCCAGTTTTAAACACACACATACACAAACAAGTTTTTAAAGCCTTTCATTGCCAACAACTTGCTTTTGACTTAGGATGATCCTCTAAATTCATGACCTCCAAAAAATCCTTTCACAAAAAGTCTTTCCAGGTCATGTTAACTAAAGACCTTCATTAGCTCAAAATTATTTTGGTTTTCACTCAGTAACATGGCAGTGGAAAAATTTAAGTTTCATTGCTTTTTTCTTTCTGCTTAACTGATTAGAATATCTTCGATGTGTTCAGGGCCAGCCTGAGGCATATCCATCTGGTATTTGCTTTCCAGTTATCGAGCTTTCCTGCTATTTTGTTATTTGTAACTACTGCAGAAATGACAGCCATTTTGCTGGGTACAGGGATAAGGAAATTGGGTTGCAGTCACTCGGCAACTGTACATGTCTCAGTCAATTTCCTGTCCAGCTTTTGCAGGGGTGGGGTGGAGTTGTATTTGGACTAGATGCAGTGCCTGCTCCGGAATTCTGTGAAAACACAGATACAGCATCTTGAGTTCTAGGTCCCCTGGAGCAAGTCGGACACAGGACCTAAGAATTTCATAAGTTTGATCTTTTATGGATACCCTGTGTGGAATAAATATAGTAGCATTGGTAAGACAGTGAGCCCTCTGCTGGCTGCAGGCCCCCTATAAATGCCTAGTCTTACTCCCTTCTGGAGTTGCTCCTGCCCAGAAGAACTAACAATTTGCAGAGGCCTGAAACAGGCAGCTTGGAGATGGTGAAATTATCTTTCTGTCTCAGGCTTCCACCCAAATGTACTGTTATACTGTTCTTCTATGACTTCCACCTATAGGTAGCACTATACACAACGCCCAATACATTTGATGGGATGTTTACGTAAGCATACATAGGACTGTATATGTATTCAGTGACAGCCAGATTTTCTCAACAGTCCTTTCACCTGAAGATGCTTCAGTTCTGTCACTGAACATACAGTACTGGTGCTGCCATTTTATTAAGGGAGAGGAATATGTGCCCCACCCCAGTGTTGTTAGATGGCAGCTCCTATTATCTATCACAATTAGCTTTGCCGTCTATGTCTGATGCCAGTTCCAGTGTAACAACAGCTGGAAGGCCACACGTTCCTTAGCTTTGTCTTAAATAATCCCTGCAAACCATGAATGGCCCAAGTTAGCAGCTGCTTTGTGTCATGGAAACAGCACTTAGACATCAGTGCAGCTGTGATATATTCCCTTCAGTTTTAAGTTATACTTGGTCATTATCACATAGATTTCATGCTCATAATGAAGGAAATGTGATTGGCTCTAGGTTTCTCCATTGGAGCATGTATGCCATGCTTATGGTTCTCTTAAGTAACTGGGAATGTACGGTACCGCACAGAGCACAGAAGTTTTTATTTGTAAATTTGCAGATTAGAATAGCATCCTCCCCACTCCACCCTGCCATCTGTGAAGAAGAAAGAGATCTTAGCAGGTCTGCCTGGTGCATCCTGCTCACGTGAACCAAGAAAGAGAGGTCCTGATTTTTTCTCGTCTTTCTGATCATTCATTTTATCTATTTCTGCTTTGTCTTTTTTGGGGGGGTTACCCTCCCTTCAGACTTCTCCCATTTCTTTGCACATTTCCCTAGTAATAATGTAACAGCAATATACATAGCGATATTTCTTATTTCTCATAAAAGTGTAATGGAGTATGCAGAGGCTATAATTCATTCTAAAGGCTTGCAAACTTGTTTTCTTTCTTTTTATTGATGTTCACCAGGTATCTCAAGTCTATTGTGGAGACTATTTTGATATATCAGCATTTTAAGAAACTGAATCCAGAGCAGCAAATTGCCAAACATGAACTTGTGGACTTTTGGATGGACTTTTTAGTTGAGGCGACAAAGACAGATGTTTCTGTAGTTAGATTTCCTGTAAGTACATTTTAAACAGTGGCAATTAATGATTAACAGCCTTCCTTTTTGTTTATTATAGCACATGGTTATTTAAGGAGATTATATTCTTTTAGAATGCAATAAACTTCTAGAAAGAAATTAGGTGAATATTGTTTCCTTTATTTGCAGCCTGCATTTCCTCAGAGGAGATATAGCAAGATAAACTGCCCTGGCCAATAATGACTTTGCTCAAGATAACCCAATGACTTTTTGTGGCTGGATGAGGATTTGAATCTAGAGTTTCCTCATGGTCTTCTGACACTAACTAGTATACCAAACAATGAACGTTTGGGGGCAAAGAAGTCTCCTTCCACGGGGTCATTTGCATATGCCTAAAACTGAATCTACCTGGATGTGTTGATTAATTTTCTTCACAATTAAGGAAGTTCTGTCTGAATTTTAAAATTTAATGTCTTCTGCTGTTAAAATGTCCCTTTCTTCCCAATCCCTGTATGTAGCATGTAGAACTGCATACTAATAGTGTGAAGATTTTTTTTTCTTGATTATTCTCTTGAAAATGTCGAGAAAGAAAGATTCAAATGTTAGCTCCAGGTGTACATTAACAATCCTGTCTGATACACAAAATTGGTAAAGCCCACAAGATTTGAAAGCTGTTGCTATGTTATTTGTATGCCATCACATCAGTTCTGACTTATGAAGTGACTCTTTTCAAGGTTTTCTAGGTAGGGAGCACTCAGAACTGGTTTGCCCTTCCCTTCTTGGGACTGTGCGCACACAGGCTAGTTTTGCTGAGGTACACGGGGGGTGGTGGTGGTGGATTGAACTCCCAGTCTCTGGCTCTGCATCCAGATATGGATGTGCCGAGCTATTCAGCTAGTTACGTGGTTTTTTGTGTTTTGTTTTGTTTTGTTTTGAGCTATTCAGCTAGTTACGTGTTTTTTTGTGTTTTTTTGTTTTGTTTTTTGTTTTGGTACTGTGGTTAAATACGTTCAGATCTTCTTTAAGTGTACAAATTATCATTCCACTTCCATCTTGTGGCTTCATACCCCATGTTTTGAGATATAGGCATGATTCAGAGAAGGATGGCAAGCAGCTGCTCAGCTTTCTGTCACCTGATTATACTTTTCCTTTCTACCTACATTTCTTCCAGCCACTTTTGTCTAGTAAAGTCATGCTGGCCCCAGATATTTTTTTTTTCTGACATGGGCTTCCTTAGGGATACACATGGATTGCCTTAGCAGTCATAGCACTGATCCTGAGGTGTCATGGCTAGGAATGGGTATTTTTCAGCCCTAGACATTTCACACCACTTCTTTACTGAGATGTGGGAATATATGACCTGCTTGTCCATCCCTCTGGTTCAACTCCAGAGCTAATGAAACCGCTCTCTTGTCTTGTTTCTTCAGTTTTTGTACAGCATAACTTATTTCTCCTTTCATGCAAGATGTGCACCTTTCAAGTCACAGGATATGTGCTTTAGACTCTTTGATATTATTATGTATGCTTCTGCCAGCACTCATCAGCATATTGTGTAAGCTTATCCATGCAGTAATTCACATGAAGCAATTCCTTCTTCCTTTTCTCCTCATCTGACTCTGATAGTGGCTTTCACCCAGTTCTCATGGAATGAAATAAAGGAAAACATTCTCTTTTGGCCCTAATGCTTTTTAAGCGCTGTATTTCCTGTTGCTCCTTGCCTGACCAATCCTAAACATTCTGATCTTAATTATACTTCCTTGTACCAGAATATGATGCCTTATAGGAAGTGGGACTTTTATCACATTTCCAGTCAGCTCTGCCTTTCACTGAACCACCACAATTTTCCTGTATTTCTTGTACCTCTGCATCTTTTCTTTTTAGAACTAGAAGCTCCACCTGTTTCTCCTTTCCAGTTTGCACATGCATGCTGAAATTACGAACACATGCTCAGTATCCCCAGTACAAGTGATACAATACAATTGAGCGGGAGCATCTTTACAAAGAAGTCAGAATTAAACTGTAGTAAAAAGAGGAATCATAAGTTAAAACAAACAAACAAACAAAAGCGAGAAAGGTCCTGATAAAGGGAGAGAGAAAACACCAGTTCCTTGTGAATGGATTCACATTCAGGTGTGTGACACTGGACTGGTGGATGTTTGATTATTCACCCTAGTAACCCTTCCAGGCAGTTGAAAATGCTACACTGAGGATCATGGGCTCCCTGCTGAATGGAGTGAATGTTAAAGTGAGGCATGTGTGGGGAGGAAAGGGAATTATTAAAACAGATGGAGCCAGCTTTCTTGAACAGAGCCCTTTTGCTAACAGAAAGCAGATTCTATAGCCAATACCAGTAATGAGATATAGCTTTTTAATATGGTTCAGGCTCTTTATATGTACACTCAAACATTTAAATGTTAGACCCTAAAAAACTGTGGATCGTTTCCAGCTGGGCATCCTTGTTAGTCTGTTGCAATAAAAATAACGAAGAATCTTGTGGTAGCCTAAAGACCTGCAAGTTTTATTTGGCCTATGATTTCATGGATTGTAGCCTATTTACAGTCTACAAAAGCCTATGCCAAGGAAAACTTGTTCGTCTTTAAAGAGCTGCAAGGCTCTTGTTGGTTTTAGTGTATACTGTGTTCCTTTCTCACCTAAAATTTTTCTGACATTTTTACACGCATAAACCAAAGTGCTAAAGTATACAGGGAACTAGAAGATTCTACAGAAATTAAAACCAGAAGGCCTTCAGTAAATAGTTTATCTCATAAAATCCAAAATTAGTTACAGTAAAGCTGTAAATATATATTTTGTGCAGTATGCTCTCATCTCCAGATTTAATAAGAGCTAAATGTAGAATCTCCTGCCAACCTAGCAATTTGAAAGCATGTAAAAATGCCAGTAGATAAATAGTTACCACCACAGTGGGAGGGTAACGGCGTTCCATGTCTAGTCGCGCTGGCCACGTGACCACGGAAGATTGTCTTTGGACAAACTCTGGCTCTACGGCTTGGAAACGGGGATGAGCACCGCCCCCTAGAGTCAGACACGACTGGACTAAATGTCAAGGGGGACCTTTACCTTTACCTTAAATGTAGAATGGTCACTGTTTAAAATACTTAAGGCACTTTGAAGAAACTGCATGCATAGTAACCATTGTATATTTCTGTTCAAAGGTTTTAATATTGGAGCCTACAAAAATTTACCAGCCTTCATACCTGTCCATCAATAGTGAAGCTGAAGAAAAGACAATCTCCATCTGGCATGTTATGCCTGATGATAAGGTGAGTTGGCACCCTAGGGTTTGCAGAACAAAAGGTAATTGTAATTTGCACTGTGCAAGTTATAACTTGTAACTAGATAATCTCTAGCAGATGACTGATTTGAATGGAGGAGGGTAGAGGAAATTGGAGATGTTTGGAGAACAGGGAAATATTCACAGTCTTTAGTATTTGAGGGAGCAAATGCTAGGCATTATTCTTGTCCTCAGTATCATACTGAAGTTTATTTTTGCACAAATTGTTGGCTAGGATCCTTCATGGCTGTGGAGTTTTGTTTTGACTATTCATTTGATGTAGATATGATTTTCTGGTCCTTTCTGGCTGTTGAACAATAGCTGAATTGCTCTGGGTTGTTGAGATGGCATACAAATTCTCTGGCATAAGAATTTTTATTAGCAACACTACCAGATAGTAGCTGAGATGGATGTTGCTGTTGTTCTCAGCAATGTCTTGGCCCTGACACTTGGTCTCATACTGGCTGCTGAAGCAATTTTCCTGTCAGTTTTTCAAATTATTATTAAGCGAAAACAGATGTCTGAGTTGGACAGCTCTCTTTAATGTTTACTCCAGTGGACTGAAACTTTGGCTGGATCATCAGAAAAATCATTTTTATTTAACCTCACCAACTTGAAAATGTAACAGTATGAAGTAAGGAGGTCACAGGGGGCTGTGAGAAACTAGAATTTTAAAAGTGTTAGAATTTCTGGATTTGGGATTGGGTTTTTTTAAATTCTTGTTGCTTCAGCTTTGATAGAAAATGTACCTGGAAGTGTTTCTACTGCTTAATGTCTTCACTTACACAATTTTTCTCCTTCATAATGGTGAACTGAAGTGGGCATCAAACATGAAAAAGTATATTCAAATAAAAATTATGCAGTGGGAAATTGCTGGATTGTTTTGAGGGATTCAGTATATAAGATTGGAGAAGTTAGAGATTTGGGGAAAGAAAGATATTTCAAAGTTTCAGCAAAGGAGACATGCTGGGATAATTTTTTTAAAACAAATGTCTGAAATTCAGTCATGAAAAGTGGCATACTTTTATGTTATTGGATTTCATTCAGTGTGTACAAGTAATACTTGCACACATGTATATGCACTGTTCATTTTTATTTCTTTTTTTCATTAGTATTTTTCCACTGCTGTCTCAAATAATAAATAAGGGGTCAAATAACCTGTTTTGTAACACTTAGAAGCTAAACTGTTTTGCACACTTCAGAATTAATGCGTGTGTTTTTTAAAAAAAATTCTTCGTTACAGAAAGGCATTCATGAATGGAACTTCAGTGCTGATTCTATAAGAGGAGTAAGGTAAGGTCATTCATGCCTATTTGTGACATTTTTCACCCTCTTTCCCCTTAATATTTAGATTGCTCATGCATTGGGGCTATCCCACTTAATATTTGCAATGTGTCTGTGATTTGATTGAGAGAAATTAAAAGAGCCAAAAATAGTTGGCATGTTTCACAGGTGAACTGGATTCCAGCCCTTGGGTTTCTAGACACAGCCTTTGAGCCACTACGCCACAATGATTCTTTGTGGTATTACAGCAAAAATAAAACAAAAAAAATTTTTTTTTGTTCTAGTTGAAGTATATATAAACCAGAGTTTTCGCTTCAGTGCATACACAGACAGGGTCCTACTCACTATTTTTGTGGCATTATTCAGAGAAGGGCAGTGATATAACTACACCGTGTCAGTGTCTGATGAGCATTTGTACTCTGAAATACCAGAATCAACAAAAGAAAATCACATTTAGATGCAGAATGGCGGGGGGGGATGGGAGAATAGGACATAAGGATGCGGTGGGTGTACTACAAAAAGGTCAGTGGGGATAAAAATAGAGATCTTGACTTTTCCCAAGCAATTGTCTGTATGAGAACAAGAAAGGAACTTCTGTATTAGAAGTATGTGGTAGATATCTGCTTATTCAGTTAGCAGATTTGGCTCCTGGGGTAGGGAGGGAGCGGGGGAGAGAGAGAGAGAGAGAGAGAGAGAGAGAGAGCATGGTTAGCACAGATAATATTTCATTGCAAAATAATTTCTCAGCTATGTATGCACATCATAAAATATATCAGTTATAAAATATTTCTGCAATTTCATATGCAAAAAGAACAGTATCGGAATATATTTTTGTTGGTGCTGTTATGTGCCATCAAGTACTTTTGTGCATGGTAGAAAAACTGCCTCAGGTACTAGATAGAGATTCTACAAGTTACAAGGTTTTCTAGAACTCATCTGTAAGTCTGCTGAGTTTTAGAATTAACAGATGTGGAGAGACTATCAAGGCTTCGCTTCTTTTTTTAACTGAAGTTGTATGTTTTTTGTAAACACCGGCTGAGAAAAAATATCACTTGTTGGCACTGCTGCAGGGGGCAATGCAATGTTAAGTGATGGTGCTGATGTTGGCAGTGATGAATGCAGAGAAGTGGCTGACCAGACATTTTCTTTGAAATAATTGTTCAAAGGTAGCTGGCATAATAGCTGACGAGTGCAATACAGTATGTTGCTCTAGACATGAAGGTGATCTTTCAGATGGAGTTTCTTGTAGGATTTCTAGTAGAAAACTATAATGTGTTTTCAAAGGCATACTTAAGATTTTTTGGTGATTAGTAACAAGTTCTAATTGCTAACATGTGCTGGATTATGGAGAAAGCCAGAGAGTTCCAGAAAAACATCTACTTCTGCTTCATTGACATTGCAAAAGCCTTTGACGGTGTGGACCACAGCAAACTATGGCAAGTCCTTAAAGAAATGGGAGTGCCTGACCACCTTATCCGTCTCCTGAGAAACCTATATGTGGGACAGGATGCAACAGTCAGAACTGGATATGGGACACCTGATTGGTTCAAAATTGGGAAAGGAGTACGACAAGGCTGTATATTGTCCCCCGGTTTATTTAACTTATATGCAGAATACATCATGCAGAATGCTGGACTGGAGAAATTTCCCAAGCCGGAATTAAGATTGCCGGAAGAAATATCAACAACCTCCGATACGCAGATGATACCACTCTGATGGCAGAAAGTGAGGAGGAATTAAAGAACCTTGTAATGAGGGTGAAAGAGGAGAGTGCAAAAAACGGGCTGAAACTCAACATCAAAAAAACAAAGATCATGGCCTCTGGTCCCATCACCTCCTGGGAAATTGAAGGGGAAGATATGGAGGCAGTGACAGATTTTACTTTCTTGGGCTCCATGATCACTGCAGATGGAGACAACAGCCATGAAATTAAAAGACACCTGCTTCTTGGGAGGAAAGCGATGACAAACCTTTACAGCATCTTAAAAAGCAGGGACATCACCTTGCCAGCAAAAGTCCGAATAGTCAAAGCTATGTTTTTTCCTGTCGTGATGTATGGAAGTGAGAGCTGGACCATAAAGAAAGCAGACCGCCGAAGAATTGATGCCTTTGAATTGTGGTGCTGAAGGAGGCTCTTGAGAGTCCCCTGGACTGCAAGGAGAACAAATCTATCAATTCTAAAGGAAATCAACCCTGAATGCTCACTGGAAGGACAGATCCTGAAGCTGAGGCTCCAGTACTTTGGCCATGTCATGAGAAGAGAAGAATCCTTGGAAAAGACCTTAATGTTAGGAAAGTGTGACGGCAAGAGGAGAAGGGGACGACCGAGGACGAGATGGCTGGAAAGTGTCTGCGAAGCAACCAACATGAAATTCACACAACTACGGGAGGCAGTGGAAGATAGGAGGGCCTGGCGTGCTCTGGTCCATGGGGTCACAAAGAGTCGGATGCAACTAAATGACAACGAACAAATTCTAAGATGACAGGGACTTTCCAGTGGTTGCCTCTATTCTATGGAATTAGCTTCGAGGAATTGTGTGGTTGTGTCCTCAGTATTTAAAGAAGTAATGAAAAATGTAAAAATAAGAAAACATCAAAGACAAATACTTCAAGCGTCTCTGTTGCTAAAACTATAACTGAAGCCAACATATGCATTCTCTCTCCCCTCCATTTCCTCTTCCTTCTCTCAGTTTGTAAAATTTAAGTTTAATGTTCACCTACTACAGTACTGCATATCTCTTTTGTCTAAAACAGTGTTTTATTCCCATTCAACCTGCATCATAAATATAAAAATGGCTAAAGTTGTTGCTGTTGCAAGTCAATTGAATGTTTTTTTTTAAAAAAGTACATGGCAGGCTGGAATTCGATTTTACACAAGTGGGCTTCTTCCACATGGGCAATGGAGTTTCTTCTCTCCATATAGTCTGCCATGCCCCCCCCCACAAAATCTGTTCCAAAAGGTCCTCCACATTGTTATAGAGTCTACAGAAAGCATTTCCAAAATAATTTCTTGTTAAACTATGAAATAGCTGCACAAGGCCTCTGTCTGAGAGAAGTGCCCATAGTATTAACTGAAAACTTTCATGTTACTAGAAAATACTGAAGAGTGCTTTTCTAAATAGCCACTATTAGTGAACAATTGAGACCCAGACCCCTTTCTAGCTGCCATCGTCTGCGTTTAATGCAAAAAAGGTCTGCATCCAAATTAATACAGTAGACATCTTGTTTGTGAACCTTTGTTTTCATTATTCAGTTCTTAACATACTTGTTCTTCCATGAAATTTTCACTTATCTTCCGTAGTAAAAACAATTACATATTCCCCTGGAGCAGTTTTCATGTAACAATAACTGACTGGAGGAAAGAATTGCTGCAGCCATTATGTCAGTGGCATAAAATATTCTCTTCACAAATATGAAGACTGCCTGAGTGATAGAATCTTCAAATCAGTAATTTTGCTTTTCTTCCAGCATTTCAAAATTTGAAGAACGATGCTGTTTCCTATATGTATTGCACAATTCAGATGACTTTCAAATATATTTCTGTACAGAACACCACTGCAAAAAGTAGGTATTGGCCAATATTCAGCATCTTAAACCTTCTTTTTTTAAAAAAATGTGCCATATGTAATTTACATGAAAATGTTCTGCAAACTAATACTGTTTACTAATTTTAATCCAGCTTGTGGAATCATCTCTGACTAACTGCTCATCCTATGTGTAAAATGTCAGCATGTGAAATATCTTTATATCAGAAATAATTGTATATTAATAGAATCAAGACCCACAGATAAAAGTAGAAATCACATGCATTTAGTAGTTTAAATAGTTTAATTATGGGGAAAAATAATTATATTCTTATCCAAACTAAATGTGCTCTCTTATTTATTGCACAAGGAAAATGATACAGAAGGTAGAAAAAATGATACAGGTAGAATAGCCTCTGCTATTTCAGATGAGGGTCATTTCTTTTTAAAAAAATAGAAAAATAATAAATGCACTTGCATGAATAAACTCCTCAAAGTAGGAGGAGGTTCTTCCTGTCGTGATATATGGAAGTGAGAGGTGGATCATAAAGAAAGCAGACCCCTGAACAACCCTCCTCTGTGGTGTTTTTCACTTTAGGGGAAAAAGCTTATTTGTCTTTTAAATGGCAGAAATTTTGGGACATTCATTTATAATTTTTCTGCACTCCCCACAAGAGACCTGAAAAAGTGGTTTCTTAATCACAAAACCTAAAGCTGAATGTTTGATTTGAGTGGTCTATACTAGTTCCTATGTCCTATCAGTTCTCATGAATGTTTATTATGTAACACAGTGGTTCTTAACCTTTGTTACTCAGATGCTTTTGAACTGCAACTCCCAGAAACCCCAGTCAGGACAGCTGGTGGTGAAGGCTTCTGGGAGTTGCAGTCCAAAACTCCTGAGTAACCCAAGGTTAAGAACCAGTGACAGACCACATAGCTCTGTCTCTGTTTTTATATGTACCAGTATTTGCTATTGTAGTTTTTAAAAAAAGATTCTGCCTCCCTTTTCCTAATATTTGTAAACCACCTTTCTGCTAGCCCAGACTTTTCTTTCAATTAGCATAGTGTGTGGGCTGGTCAATGAAAAATATCAGGTTACTAGAAGGGAACAACCCTAGGGGAGGTTGAATCACCTTTTTTGTGAAACAGTAAGCATTTACCATTCTCAAGCAAACGTAGAAAGATGAGTACCAAGAAATCATTTTGAAGGGGATGCTTGCAGAATTTAGTGCATTCCCATTTTCCTCTGGATTTTTGGGCTCTGAATTCCCTGAAATATTTTAGAGAGTGACATGTAATGATAATAACGCCTAGGTTTCTTTCTTTCTTTCGTTAACAGTTCTTTGTGCTCTGAATTTTGGCAGATTTTTTGAAATGGTTAATAGTATCACTGAGGAAAAAGGGAAAAATACAGAAGAAGGTGAATGTGAGGGAGACTCCCTGGAGGTAAGAGAAATCTTCCATTCTTGTTGGTTTTCACACCATTGAGAACTGAGCTCTGTAAGGTAGATTTTAAAACCCAAGCATTTTATGTTTCAGTATTAAATATTATGATGATGCTGTCATGTTGTCATGATCAAAACTAGACCTTAGTCACCTAATGTATGCATTCATGACTTACTGCAAGAGCAATCCACTGACCATAAATTTATTAAAAGAAAAATCATGGACTTTCATAGCATTTAGCATGAAAAAGTGAGTATTCAATTGATCAGGTCAGACAGTTTAAAGATCTGGGCATTAGGTTTCACCACAATCTCTACTGGGTTGACCATAGATGGTCTGCAATCAAGGCCATTTCTTGCTTTTTCTTTACCGGGGAGGAGGGGCACAATTTATTCCTGCTGCCATCCAGACATTGAAGTCTAAGAACTTGTCTCAACTGCTGTATGGAATCCCAAGTGGATTCTAGGATATCACCCAAATATTGAGTGTCCTCACAGTCTTTTTGAGATCTATCCTGGGATTGCCAAGATGTGTCCCTGCAGCAGGTTTACAACTTGAGGCACGTGTCTCATCACCAGAATGCACTGCCCGGGTACTCACTTTTGGGATTGAATTAAAGTTTTGTGTGCTGACACTTCTCTAGGGTATTTACATCTTCTACATAAATATATCTATACTGGTTCCTATGTCCTATCCTGATAATCTGCATTTATTAGCTCTATCTATGAATTTTCTGGGGAACTGAACTGCCAAGTCCTGGCTCCATAGGCAGATATTTAAACCACTGAGCTATCTAGCGAGCTAAATTCCAGTATAGCCTTTTGCAAATCATCTATCAAATTGATATATATCATTCAGGAAAGAATTCCAGTGATCCATTCGCATTATCAAACTCCAGTAATTCATCCAAATCAGCATATTCTTTCCTGCACCCAGTACAGCCCTGGGTCCAGATAAAGGTGCTTTCCTTCGTGAACTGGCTCTAACTCAGTGTGCTCGGGGGCATCTATATGCTAGGTACATGGACATCCTATTTCTTTCTCTTCAGTAATGTCTCGTAAAAACTGCACAATACGTTTCTCAGTGACTGAGTATTCTTTAATTGTTATCTGCCATTTCCACAAATCAAGAAACTGAACACAGTGTGAGATGTTTTCTTTTACTGGGCATTCCCAGAGAAATGTTGGGGAGAGGGATGGGATGCTGGAAGCCACTCAACCCTATCCACATGCAGTTAAGCAGTCTCATGTTGGTGCAATCTTGTTAAGCTAGAGTCTGCTCTGAGAATGTAAATGGGCCAATGAAAAGTGCAATATCAAGTTTGCAACCAATAATGTATCAGTGTGTCTGGATGAAGTTTTCCTAAAACACTTGCAGTGGCAATAAATAAATAAATAAATAAATTCGTGTTGACAGTGATTTCGTTCAGATAGGATGTTACCGTTTTCAACTATCATTTTTTCACTTTTTACTATGAAATAACGTTTGAGGAGGATACATACTAGAGTCATAGATCCGTTCCTTTTGCTGTATTTTCTGTTACAGTATGACTATGAATACGATGAAAATGGAGAGCGAGTCATTTTGGGGAAAGGCACTTACGGCATAGTTTATGCTGGACGAGATCTGAGCAATCAAGTCAGAATTGCCATTAAAGAAATCCCAGAAAGAGACAGCAGGTATAGTAATGCCAAATACCAATAAATACTGCTTTGCTTGCAACTGTAAAATTAAATCTGCTGATTTAACAGTGGCATTTCCAAAAAAAACACAACACCTATTAATAGCTATATATTTTCATATTCTTTAGATAGTCTTTCACATCATCTCAGAGGTGTTCAACTCTAGCAAAAGAAGAGAAAAAGGAGTTATGACTAGAGATGGGGGTATTCGTATTTGTATACTCCTGGCAGAAGGAGGGAAGATGAATTTCCCTGCCAGGCTGATTACTGGCGAGCTCCAGAGTGATTGGAAGGGAGAGCGGAGCTGGTGGCAACAGTGGACGCATGAGTGGACGGTCTGGCCCTAGAGGGCTGGACCCTTGTTACTTCCAGCTGTGCAGGGGTATTCGTATTCATATACGAATATCCCCAGCTCCTTTTATGATCAAATCTGTGGAGCCCTGTTCGTATTGCAGGGGTGCATCTTAACAATATTATTTTGGGTGCCTTTCTAATGCCTAGCATTAGAAAGAATGGCTGGGGATGACAGAAAGGCAGAAATATCCTTCCCCCAGCTATTGCTGTTATTTCTGTAGTCACTCAGCTTGTTGCTTTCTTTCCTGGGACTTTTAGAGGTGAGTGTTTTGCTCTCCCAGCTACTCTGCAGGAAGAAAATAGAGGGGAGTAAAATAGACATGGAAAGGATTAAATACTATATCTCTTTCCTTCAGTTCTCCTAATTGTCCTCCTTTCTAGAGATTCACACACATCGTTGTACCTGCGCCTCGGCCAGAGATAGCTCATTGGGACACCTCACACAAATATTTTGGGGGGAGACTGCCCCTCCACAGTCATGACACTTCCTCAGTCTAAATTATCTGAGAAAAGCTTGAAAGGGCTGGTCAATTCCTGAGCAGGAAACAAGCATAGCAAAACATGGAGAAGGCCCCGTTTTTAAAAGCAGTGGTGCTTTACAATAGGAACTGTATCTGAGATGGCTGAAACCTCTTCTTTTATAAAGATTGCTTTAAAAAAAAAAAAAGTCCACATGATCCCTTACAATGGGTTTATCTTGGAGCCAGTTATCACGATGTAGCAATGCCTCCAAGATAACCCCATCTCAGGGATCATGTGGATATATATCCACATGATCCCTGTTCTATATATATATATTTTTAGTCTCATCTTTCCCAGAACAGCACAGAAAACATGCAGCCAGATAGAATATATGAGCTAGACATCTCTCACTGCAGAGGTGGGGAAACTGAGCATCTCTCATTGAAGAAGCAGGGATAAGTTACTGGACTGAGGGCAAACATCCATGGTTGACATATCCTATAAACCTTCTCCTTTAAAAGCTTTTCTTTTGTGTTGGATTATTCAACCAAAGAGATAAGCTTCAGTTTAATTTTTTCCTTTACTTGGGAGATCGTTGAGTTATTTTGCCTGTCTGTTTATTCTGTATTATCTTTTCATTTGGAGCATTATTTCCTTTCTGCAAATGTTGCCTGGGCAATTGTTATTTCACTTTAAACAGGTCCATTGAAGTACTGCTGTGTATGGAACTCTGTACAGTGAAAATGGTGAAAATTGTTAAACCTTGCCTTTCAGATACTCCCAGCCTCTACATGAAGAAATAGCTTTACATAAGCACCTGAAACACAAGAACATTGTCCAGTATCTTGGTTCATTTAGTGAAGATGGATTCATCAAAATATTCATGGAACAAGTACCTGGAGGTAGGAGGTTTTAGATACAATGTATGTATGTGTATAGTCAGTTTACTTCTGTGATATATCTTGCTACTTAGTTGTTACCTCTTTTGGATACAGAAATTCTATATATATATTTGCAAATCAGGAACTTGAGAACTTTAGTATGCACACCCTTTTTGCTAAATGTGCAGTTGATGAAGGGTCTTGGTCACCCTGTCATGGCTAGTATAAATGTTGGGGAAACAACCCATTATTGGGGAAAAATACACTTTTCATATCTCTTTCCTTGTCCAAGAAAGGAAGTGTGTTTCTTAACCCAGAGCCCAATAGACTGAGAAATATATTTTTGTACTTATTTTTGTTTGCTGCCACTTCTTGAATTAGATTTGCAGATATAATTATAAAATGCGTCAAATGAGCCAAAGCTCTCTCTAAAGGTAAAAATTGTGAAACTGAGGCTGTTGTACTTTGAGCACATCAGGAGAAAACAAGACTCACGGGAAAATACAACAATGCTAAGAACAGCAGAAAGCAATGAGAAAAGAGGAAGATCTAATATGATAAGGGGGTTGACTCCATAAAGGAAGCCATAGCCTTCAATTTATAAAGGCTGAGCAGGGCTGTTGAGGAAGATCTAATTTTGGAGGTTACTCATTCATAGGGTCACATTCATTTGTTGTCAACAAATATGATCATGGTTGAGATATGTGGATTGCCTCTGAGAGCCTGTTCTATACCCTATTTGGTTTGCTTGACTCATTGTCCCAAATACACAATGAAGAATAGAGGAGCATAGGCAGCTGCTGTAGACCACTGGTTCATCTAAGCCAATATTGCCACCTCTGACTGGTGGCAGTGCTTCAGGGTTTCAGGCAGAATTCTTTCTTCGCCTTATTCTGTAGATCCCTGGTATTTCCTGGTGATCTCCCAGCCCAAGTACTAGCCAGGCCTTACCCAGCTTAGCTTCTGAAATCTACTCTGGTGTGTTCAGGGTAGTATAGTGTTATGTATTAGAGAGAATGCTTATATAAAATGCCCCTGACCATTGCTACTACTGCCAACCTGCCTTCTTCACACATGTCAATTGTATCAATGTTAAATTTCAAATTACGTTCCGTGTCTAAGTCACACTGGCCATGTCTTCTTCACACATGCCAATTGTATCAATGTTAAATTTCAAAAAACCAAAACTGTCCCAGTACATGAAATAAAGTTGGTATGAATGTGTTCTCCCTTGGGCTGGATAGTCAATAAGTGTAGCAGGACTCTGATCTAGGGAATTGCAGTGAATTTGAAGTGTCAGTTAAACATTGAAAAGTTACTTGTTGAGTCATCTTCAACAGATACCTTTAAAGTAATTTGTTCCTTTGATCTATTCCTAAAGACAATGGAAAGTGGAGATTTTTTTAAAAATCCCTTTGCACCTTTTAAAAAAATCATAATGGTTAGTACTTTGGTAAATGGTTTAGCTGTGAGTTACCAAATGGCTCTTACTCTTCTTCCCATGTGCTGTTGCAGTTGAGGGAGATACTCAGATTCTCAATTTGAAACATGAGTTCTTACTGTGATATGTTTCAAGAAGGGGTGTGGACTATTAAGCAAAGGCTTTTCCATAAAAAAGGAAGTCTATAATGTTATTAAATTGTCATTTTTGTCCAAAATATTAACATTCTTGGCTCAGTCATCTAAACCAAGGGTCTCCAAACTTTTCAGTATGGAGGCCACATCATATATTTTACAAATTTTCTAGGGCCGAATGAGGGAAGGCAGACCCAAGCAAAGACAGTGGGGGTGGGGGATCGGTTGGGTCCCCCTTCCCTTCCCTTCCTTTCCTATGCTCGGGGTGGATAAAAATACAGTACAAGGTGGGCCAGATGCGGTCCGTGGGCCATAGCTTGGAGACCCCTGATCTAAATGTTGGAGTAAGTGCATTAATTGTAGATGGAGTACATGGATTAATTGTAAAGGAAACAAGCTGAACAAAATGTCAGTAATTTTAGATAGGCTTTTCTACTGATTTTCAGTAATCTGTTATGACCAAATGAGAACAAAGATTTAAAATATTTGTACTGTAATAAGCAATGTGTTTTCTTTGTAAACTGTTTAGAGATTCTGGTATTAATATAATTTTTCTCCCATTTCTATTTGGTAGATATAGGTATTGTTAAATAAAAACAAGTTTTGGTATAAAATTATTATCTGCCCAATCTGAAATTCATTTTCTCTGATACTTCCCCCAAATTACAGGTAGCCTTTCAGCTCTTCTGAGATCAAAATGGGGACCACTAAAAGATAATGAACAGACTATTGGCTTTTATACCAAACAGATTCTTGAAGGATTGAAATACCTCCATGATAATCAAATAGTACATCGTGACATTAAGGTAGGAGGTTTACTGTCAAATGTAAATATAGATTTCTTTGCAAAAGAATTAGATTTATATTGTTGGGCGAAAAGTGCTATGTACTGCTCCATGAAAAAAATGAATGTATTAATCTTCACTTGCTGATATTAGCCATCATAAATAGCACAGAACATTGGAGTGGTGAAGTTTGCTAATGGAGGGGCACTGGATTTTGGTCCCAGAGTTTTAGAATTATAAAGCATTATAAAGATTTCTGCATAATCAGTTGAAATTCTTGGCCAGAATTCAAGCTCCAAAGTTCAAATCAACTTTTTCTCTTCTCCTTCTTTCCACATCAGCCCCCTCTATTTCCCAAAAAAGCCTTTTCAGAGGGGTAGTCGAGTCAGCCGAACTGTTGCCAGTGTCTTATGGGGTTGAAATGGGAGGCAATCACCTCGTATCGGGAATCATTTGCAACCTCTCTGCCTGATTGCAGGTGATTGCCCTTCCCTTTATATTCCAGAAGACATGGGCTCCAGTCTTTAACATTTTTCCATAAAGCTTGGCACTAATGCATTACATTTTTTAAAAAATCAGCTTTAAAAATGATTACTTTTGTGTTAACAGAAGCATAAGGCAACTGATGCATATGAAGAATGATGTTTTGAAACGTAATGATATAACTATACTTTTAAAATACCATTTTAAGCAGGTAGATGCATTTCTCTTATCTAATGCAACAGTACTGTAATGGCTTTAACATTAATGCATTAAAATGTATGCACTTTTCCAAGCTCTGTCTGGATCCTAGAATGAATTTTCTGTGGATACAGGAAGCCAAAGGGGAGGAGAGGGTGGTCCACAGCATTCTTTGTCTTAAATTATACAATATCCAGTTTCACTCAAAAAAATTCAGAAGAAAATGCTAGAAGTCGAAAACCGATCTCTTCAGAAGGTCTCCTGATAACTAACAAAGCTACAAAGTATTCCTAAAAGTTTTTGTGGGTTTTTCGGGCTCTTTGGCCATGTTCTGAAGGTTGTTCTTCCTAACGTTTCGCCAGTCTCTGTGGCCGGCATCTTCAGAGGACAGCACTCTGTGCTCTGGTGCAGTTTGCTTGGGAGTTGAGCATTTATGCTGTGAGATCAGCTTTTGTCCTTTTTGGGAGATGGATGATTATGGTGATCAGTGTGTTTTTGTTGTGGGTGTATTGATGTGATAAGGAGAGGAATTATCTGTCACTGTGACTGATGGGTGTCATTAGCTGGTCTTTTGTGTGCAGTGGTCCTAGTGGCTGGGGAGAATTTGTTGACCTTTTGCAGGCTGTATTTTTCAGTGCTGGGAGCCAGGCTTTATTGAGTTTTAGACTTTCTCCTTTTTTGTTGAAGCTCTGCTGGTGTTTGTGGATTTCAATAGCTTCCCTGTGCAGTCTAACATAAAGATTGCTAGTGATGTCCAGTTCATCAGTATTTTGAAATAGAATTTCATGTCCAGCTTGTTGTGATAATCACAGTGACAGATAATCTCTCCTTATCATAACAATACACCCACAACAAGACACACTAATCACCCATCTCCTGAAAAGAACAAAGGCCTATCTCACAGCCATAAATACTCCATTAGATCCCGGAAGTGAAAGCCTTCACGAATATATTCTTAAAAGTTTTGAACAAATTTGAATTACATTGTTTTTATTGTATTTTTTGTATAATGTAATTCACTGGTAGACTCATAGGTTCTTTTAGTTCTCAACTGAAGCTTTGTTGAATGAAAAATATGAAAACAAAACTGCAACAACATCCATTTAAATGCATTGTAATCTACAGTGAGATATTTCAGCACTCATTTTTGCTGAAATCTGTTTTGCAGTTTCAGTGAAAAGATAAAAGTGTGATCTCAAATGCTCTCTCTTCCAGGGTGACAATGTACTCATCAACACGTACAGTGGCGTGCTGAAGATTTCAGACTTTGGAACATCAAAGAGGCTGGCTGGGATAAATCCATGCACTGAAACATTCACAGGTATATTCATATGTCTACAGTGTTGATCCCTCCAGTTGCTGAATAAAGGGAAGGGTTTTCAAAAGAATAGACTTGATATCAGAATTGTCTGTAGCTTTTTGTCAGCACAGGATGCTGACTCACTTTATTTGACTTGCTTAGATAAAACTGTTCCTTTTGTGATTCAGCTGTGTACACATTGTGAAAAGGATAGCACTGCAGAAAGCAAAAATAGGAAGGCTGGTGCAGACAGTCATCCTAATTACCTATTGACTTGAGAAGTTCCAGTAGGAACTGTATCGGGACTGTTGCTTTATTCATTAACCAAGTTGTTGGCATTAGTTAAGTAGCGATTCTCTGTCTGTGTGATGCACATATCAGTTCCCTTCACAGCTATTAATAATATTCCTACTTTTTCAGTGAGATAAAAACCAAACTATTGCAGCTACCTAACCAACCATATAAAACATGGACATTTTGATCCACCTGGAGAGACATATGTGGAAAATTGTACCTGCTCTATTCCTTTGTATAGTCTTGGGAGCTCAGAACAGCATGCATGCCCAAATATTGGGATTCAAGTATTAGTAACTTTTGCTGCAAGTGGTATTAAACTGAATACTGAATTCTTTTCTTTTTTTAAAATCAGAACATGAAAGTATAAATTTTATGCTCTGTCTTTCTCCTTTATGGGACTTAAGACACCATGGGTCTATCTAGGCCTGTCCTGTCCACTCTGATGGGTAGCAGCTTTCCAGGTTTCGGGCAGGATTCATCCCCATCGTACGTGAAAATCCCTCGTGTTCCCTGGTGGTCTCCCAACTCAAGTAGTAACCAGGGCCAACCTTGGCTATATGTACAAAAAATACAGTTTAAAAACACAATATATTTAATTATTAAAACAGCACTCGGTAAATTAATAGATCAACACAAATACATAATTAATGAAGCTGAAGTACAAATTAAAACCAGTTCAAGCCATTTGAAAACAAGAGCAGCACCTGACATTAAATGGACATGATCAGTGGCCAAAAATGGGTTTAAGTAAAAATGCTGTCACTTGCCAGTGGAAGATCAGCGAACGGGAGCAGCCTAATCTCCCTCATGAGGGAATTCCATAAGCTTGGAGTAAGCATTGACGAGCGCTCTCTCTTGCCCTTACTAAACATGCCTGCAATGAAGGTGGTGGGGCAGAGAGAAAGGCATAGTCAGAGAGTGTTATGACCTGGAAATGCTCATGTAGGAAGATACAGCCCTTCAGATAGCCTGGACACAATCATATAGGGCTTCAAAATCATTATAAACACTTTGCCTTATGCCTGGGAACAGATAAATAGTCAATGAAGGTAATGTAGCATGGAATTTCTGTTCTCACTATAACTGGCTTGCTGCAGCATTTAGACAACTGTCTGCCCAGTATACTTTGATTTGGATTCCTGCAGTGAGTACGTGACCTCAGGTAAAACTCCATTGCAAGTTGCTTTGCACCTGCATAGCAAAGAAAGGTGGGATATATTTATTTTTGTAAATAAATAAAATGCTTACCTGTTCATTTATTTGAGCCTCTCCTCATGCTTTGGGTCAAAAATGAGCCCTTTGTCCATATCTTTCTTATCTTGTAATGGAACACTCCTGAAGATTATTAAACCACAGTTTCCTGATCCTGCTTTCCTGTTTTGGCTTGCAAACAGAGATTAAACCACAGTTTCCCACCAGATGCAATCATAGACTGGCTTAATAAAATACAATGGAAGTACCCAAGCTAGACATATGAGGCAAAGACAGATAAGAGTACTCTCCGAGGCAAGGCTTATTCTCAGTCTAATGAATCATAGTTTGTTAGATCAATATTGTTAAGCCTGAACCAGGACCAGAGGAAATACATTCAACACTCCAAAATGCTTCATACGTTTTTGGTACTTATTCAAAACTACCAGAAAACATAGGCATCTGACGCTTACCTGTATGCTTTCTCTTAAATTGAAGTGTTAGCAAAGAAATTCCTGCCTAAGTGAAATCTCTGTTTTTAACAGGTACTCTTCAGTATATGGCACCAGAAATAATTGATAAAGGACCAAGAGGTTATGGGAAACCTGCAGATATCTGGTCTTTAGGCTGCACAATTATTGAAATGGCTACTGGGAAGCCACCATTTTATGAACTAGGCGAGCCGCAGGCAGCAATGTTCAAGGTTAGATGACGTATATGGATCAGTGTGATGGGGGGGTTGTGTGGGTTTGATTTGGTTTGGTTTGGTCTGTTGAAACAATTGAGGAGGAGATCAGTGACTTTATATGTTAATTTGTGAGGTAAGTAGAAATAGAACTGTGGTGATGTCACATTTGGCAGGAAAATACTCTGAAGAAAACAGAATACTAAAATGTTCCTGAGATTGCCATGTGACATAAATGCACTATAGCAGTGGTCCCCAACCTGCGGACCAGTTGGTGAAGGTGGGATACCCCCCGTGCTCGTGTGCTACTAAAATGGAGATTGCCATGTGACATAAATGCACTAGAGCAGTGGTCCCCAACCTGCGGACCAGCTGGTGAAGGGGGGATACCCCCCCGTGCTCGTGTGCATGTGCAAAGGTAGCAGTGGTCCCCAACCTGCGGACCAGTTGGTGAAGGTGGGATACCCCCCGTGCTCGTGTGCATGTGTAAAGGAGCGGGAGGGTGCTCGTGCGAGCACAAAGGGTGGGGCAGCACTGGGGGCACTCATGCGCATGCGCGAAGGGGTGGGGGAGTACTCATGGAGCATGCTTGCACTTGTGTGCATGCACAAAGGGTGGGGCAGCACGGGGGGCACTCGTGCGCATGCACGAAGGGGGGGATTACTCACGCAGGCGCAGGTATGCAGGCACAGGTGCAAAGGGGCTGTGGGGGGAGTGCAGGCGGGCGGGAGATCTGTCTACACACCTGGTCTGGCTCAGGCCACGGACTGGCACCAGGCTGCACACCAGGAGTTGGGGACCCCTGCATGAGAGAATGGCATGACAGGAATATACTGTAGCAGTTCATGCTTATTTGTGTTTCCCCTTGTATTTTAAGAAAAAGACTTTCCTGTTTGATGGAAGGTCTTCTTCATTGGTTTTCTGCTTTTTATCAGGTTGGCATGTTCAAGATACACCCTGAGATCCCTGAATCCATGTCTGTAGAAGCAAAGGCCTTTCTGTTACGTTGCTTTGAACCTGATCCAGACAGACGAGCCTGTGCTAATGAGCTTCTTGTGGATGAATTCCTAAAGGTCACAAGCAAGAAAAAGAAAAGCCAAACCAAGCTTGCAGGTAAAGAAGTATTCAGGTCTCTGTAGGAGAGCTTAAGGCCATGAGGCAGCCTGATTAATGTAGCCACTCATGATGCCTCTGTTAAGAATATGAACGAAGAGTCTGTTAACATAATGAAAATATGGCTTTTACCTATCAGTTTACATTTATGCTGTCCAACAAATGGATTTTAAACTTTCATTTAAAGTGATTCATTTGGAAAGCATGAGCCTTAAGAAAGCCACAGTGAACCAATTCCATTGTTTTTTCAGCAAAAATTAGTCATGACTCACTTTAGCTAATGAAATATATTTTAAAAATTCATACATAAAACAGCTATGTATTGTATAGTAATTGGTCAAGTTATTTCTTTTTAGTTCTACTTCACACATGAATCTGAATATATTTTAATGCATTTCCTTTCTCCCCCCCCCCCCCAGCTCTGTCAGTCGGATCAAATGGTGAGATTAATATTTACATATTTTTCTTCTTAAATTTCTGAACTCTTTAAATGTTCTATAACATCATGACTGTATAATCTATTGAAAAGCTACCACAATTGCAATCTCAAATGAGGTAACAGGAGCGAAAGATAGCAGTGCTACTGCCCATACAACAGAGATCTATCCTCCAACAATTTCTCAGCAGGTAGCAGAGTCATGCTGCCTTACAACATAGTTACATAGCAGTGGTAGCCAGGTGATTAGCATTCAGGAGGCAAATACTTTCTGAACTAGCTGGGCTCTGCCTTTTGAAGTGCACTTCCTGCTCTCAGAAGCACCACGTGACTGATTCATCTCCTTGCTACTCAAAGCCAAGAAAAATGGTTTGGAATAGTGTGTGACTTCAGGCCCCATCAGCCATCTGGTACTTCCCTTTGAAAGTGACCCAAGGAAAGGGTAGGAACAGCTCCCAACACCATGCCCACCATGTTCAGGAAAAGGGGAAAAAGAGGCTTATGTGTAGTCAAGAGGAGTCAAGTGAATTCAGTGAGACTTACTTTCAAGCAAACAAGTTCAGGATCCAAATCTAGAAACACTACCTTCTTCATTGGGCAACTTATTTGTTAAATTAATTCTTCAGATATTACATTGTGTGCGAGGGAACTACCCATCACAGGGTATGATGATGAGCCTGTTTACCCCACCCTACCCATATTTCCTTGGATACAGTTCAGTGTATACCGTCATAATTGTGGATGGAGGGCTTCCATTACTTCCCAAGTTACATGCGCTGTGAACACAGGAGGAGATGGATCATGTCCTGTATTTGTTACAGTTTACTTTCCTTTTGAAGTTTTATTGCACTCGCCTTCTTGATTTTCTTGCCTTTTTCTCAACAGAATATCTTCGAAGTATATCTTTGCCTGTTCCTGTTCTTGTAGAAGATACAAGTAGTAGCAGTGAATATGGGTCCGTTTCACCTGACACAGAATTAAAGCTTGACCCATTTTCTTTTAAAATGAGGGCCAAATCCTGTGGAGAAAAAGATGCCAAAGGACTTAGGTCCCTTTTTCTAAGGTAAAAGTCTACATAATGTTCATATATATGAATACATATATAATATACATAATGTTCATGTATATGAAGAAAGAAACACATTTTCCATAAATTTGATTAACTCGTGGTTTCTTAAATAAAACATTTACAGCATTCCAGATGAGAATTTTGAGGACCACAGTGCTCCTCCTTCACCGGATGAGAAGGATTCTGGCTTCTTCTTGCTTAAAAAGGACAGCGAGCGAAGAGCCACCCTCCATAGAATCCTAACCGAGGACCAAGAAAAGGTGGTGAGGAATTTGATGGAAGCCTTAGCGCAGGTAAGCAAACATAGGTGGTATGTTTAACAGGGATTATTTTAAGAAAGAAATGTAAGGGAGGACTTCACAATCACAGCATCAGGTGGTGGCAGCGGTTAGGTTTATTAACCTTTGGCTGGGTCTCCAGCTGCAAGCTTCCCTGCTGAAACCAGACCTGGCACCAATATTTCATATTTAGTCACCTCTGGATTTGATGATTACAGTGGTACCGATTCAAAAATGGGTTGGGAAGATTGAGGGGAGGGTTGTTTCTTTGCCCAATGTCATCTGACAGAGGACCCCACAAGGGAATGTAGCCATCAAGAAAATGTTGGAGTCTTTACAACCTCACATGCTGCCTCTAGTAGGTATGGCTAGGATGGACTTTTCTGGACTGAGGTGGCTATCAGTCTATCCAGCACTAACCAATAGCACCCCCGCCTTTGAATTCAAAGACAATCCCACCCCTCTGCTCAGCTTTTTTCCCTCTCTTGAGTCTTTTGAAGCCTGCTGAAAGCAGTCATGCTTGTCAGCTTGCTGCCTGATCTGTTCAGTTGTAAATAATGAAACCCTTTATTCGTTCTCCTACTAATGTCTCAGAGTTACTGAGAGTGTAAGTGCCAGTTGATTAGAAAATCGGTGGACTACGCTGGGGAACTTGAAGCTGTTCTGCTCTGTGAATCCCTGCCCTTCTGCTCTCCAGCAAAATTCAAAACTCTGCAACAGAAAAAGAGACTTATGAGTACTTGTTGAGGGAAAGAGATTCTTCACTCTTGCTTTAATAGCTGATTAAAATTAGGTGCAGATTCTTCTCTGTATCCCATAGATAAGTGAGCTTATACACCCAAATATAAAAGGAGGGGCTTTCCTAATAGTTGTATGAAAGCTGTGAAGTAACTTCTCTTTTGGAGTCCTTCCAGTTTCCTCCTATCTCGGCTTTTAGGCATCTTTGAACAATTTCTAAAGATGTTCTATAGATGGCATTTTAAAACTGGCAAAAAGGTTGTTAGAGATTAGAAATTCATGTTAAAAATACTGTCGGCAACTGCGGGCTCTCTTTTGTATAGGTGGTGGATACGTGATAGAGTAAAATGACTTTGGAGGTAGATGAAAAAGATATTATATAAGAAATTACACACATATATATAACCTTTAAATTTCTAAAGATGTTCTATAGACGGCATTTTAAAACTGGCAAAAAGGTTGTTAGAGATTAGAAATTCATGTTAAAAATACTGTCGGCAACTGCGGGCTCTCTTTTGTATAGGTGGTGGATACGTGATAGAGTAAAATGACTTTGGAGGTAGATGAAAAAGATATTATATAAGAAATTACACACATATATATAACCTTTAAACTAGAAATGCTCTTGCTGAATATAATACCAGAAATTGTTGATTTAAAAGATATATATGTATAGTAAACATACGTTGTTGTAAAAATTTATAGTTAAAAGGTTGATCTGAGCTCAAAATGGAATACCTTCTTAGACAGGCTATCTGAGAATTCAAGAAGATATGTTAAAGAAAACTGAAAAATGTTTTATGATTGAGCCCAGAAACAAATATGAGTAGATAATATAACATGTGTTTTAGATTTTAGTATTGTAATACAGTTGTGGAGTCACGATTATACTAGATATTGTACTACTGTAAACACTTCCCTGTGTGTATCTTTTGTATGGTATATTTTTCTTTCCTCCCCCCCCCAATGTATTTGTATTCCTTTCATTGTTGTCTGTTTGTTTGTTATATAATAAAAAGTATTTCTTAATATGTGCTTTATGTCTGTGGCATTTTAAGATGTTATAGTTCTGTACAAATGAAATATTAACAGCAGCAGCAATGTGAAGCCTTAGTCATTGAGATGATTGGCCAATTGGGTTATAAAAGAATGACCCTGGTTATAACATGACATCCTCAAATTGCAGATGTTGCAATTCGGTAAAAAATATGTATTATCTATTCAGTTTTGTTTTCTGTGAGTCACCTTTGAGAAAGTTGCTTACTTTAAGGACCAATCTGAACTGGTCTGCTACATACTTAATCAGTGGCAGGACTGCACAACCTAAACCTGTTGCTCAGTCAAGGAGCCTCATTTTATCAGCATGTTGCCACAAGTTGTAGGAAAAAGCTGGACAATAGTGTGTTTCAACATAGCTGTTTTTCATGACAATTATTATGTCATACTTCATAAGTCAGACTATTGAGGTACTCAGAGTTACCCTCTCATTACCTAGGATTTTTTCCCCTCATTTTGATTTCTTTTGTGTTAGAACCCCTGTGTAAAGCAGAGGCTGAAATGAATTTAGAAGTTACTTCAAGATAACCACTTATGAAATTCAGCACAAACCATGCAAAAGGCCTCTGGACACATTTCAGTGTGCCTGCCTTGCGCATCCACAGATAATATATTCAAAATCATGCTTGGCTGAAAATTTCAGAATATAAATTTCTATGTAATAAATAGATCTTTATTGGTCTTAACAGGGAACCGAAGAACCTAAACTGAAATACGAACACATCACCACTTTAGTTGCCAGTCTCAGAGAATTTGTAAGATCAACTGATCGCAAAATGATTGCAAACACACTTTCAAAGCTGAAACTGGAGCTGGACTTTGACAGTCATGGCATCAGTCAAGTTCAGTTGGTACTCTTCGGTTTCCAAGATGCAGTAAGTATGCCTTCTGCCTGCTGTTCTAGTTCATACCTTCTTATCCCTAAACACCAACTCCAAGCCATCAAAAGGTGGCTGCAAAGCAGTGTGCTGTAATGGGTAGAGTGCTTGGTTGTTGATGGTGGGGGGATTTGGGGCCTAGCTTCAAATCCTGACTCGACTGTAAAACTCACTAGGTGAAATGAGGTCCAGTCACTGTCGCTCTGTCTTAAATCTTTCAGAGCTGTTGTGATGGTAATGTGAAGTGACCATTTACAACACCTTTGAATGTGTAGGAAAGTTGTAAGATATAAATGTCATTATTATAATCATTATGCCAGGTTGCAAAATGGGAAGTATTTAGAATCTGAGAGATAATCAGCAGGGTGAGGAAGAGTTTCCTTATGAACCTATCAAGAAGTGGCCATTCACTTCAAGTGAGATCTATTCTGGATTATTTTTTTAAAAAAATAGTACAGCAGGATAAAATTCAGCAGTTCCCAGTTTTGCTAGACCATGATGTACTTGCCATTGCTATTTGGTAAATGTGGCAGCTTCACCCTTCTTCTCAGCCTTTGAGCTGGAGAGGCAGGCAGACATTGTCTTCTTGTCTCCAATCCAAGGTTGATAAGAAGGATGGGGTTTCTTTTATTTGTATCCTGCCAAGGCTGATTGTTAATGGCTCACATGTTGATTTCCTGATCTGTTTTTAAAATTCAGATTTTACTATGATGGAAACTGAAAGTATCAAAATTGCTTTTCTTTCTCACAATAATGACTAATTATTTAATTGTTTGAAAGGCAGACACTCTATTTCAGCCACTGTTTTGTTGCCCCCATTGGTGAAAGATGGGTTATATGACGTGTTCCTAAATGTATGTTTCATCTGTCATTCAAAAATGCTTCACTTCTACAGTATAGCTCTCTTTCCATAATAAGCTGATTACTGAGAGGAAGAAAGGAGAGGAGAGGAGCAATGAATGTCAAAACTGAATTCTCTGTCTGGTGCTTTCCCCCCACCAATGTGACATTTGAAAAAAAAATTTAAACAATGTTTTAATGCCAGTGTCTTTCCGCAGGTGAATAAAGTTCTAAGAACTCACAATATCAAACCACACTGGATGTTTGCACTGGACAGCATAATTCGCAAAGCAGTGCAGACAGCTATTACTATTATGGTTCCAGGTGAGATGTTTGTTACTCATTTAAATGGGTTTTTGAAGACTTTAGTTATACAGTGGTGCCTCGCTAGACGATTGCCTTGTGGGACGAAAAACCCGCAAGACGATTGGTTTTTGCGATCACTATGGTACCTCGCAAGACTTTTTTTCTATGACTGTGCTTCGCAAGATTTTTTTTTGAGAACAATGCTTTGCAAGACTTTTTTTTTTTAGACCGATGCTTCGCAAGACTTTTTTTCTATGACTGTGCTTCGCAAGATTTTTTTTTGAGACTGATGAATAGGGAACCTCGCAAGACATTTTTTTCGCAAGATGACGATTTTCACAGAACGAATTAAAATCGTCTTGTGAGGCACCACTATAAATACACTTAACCTGGGGAAATATTCTGCCGAAATTGTTATAGTGTCCATCTGTGATGTTACTGAACCATAGCAAAATACATTAGAGGACAACAGCAAACCATGATTGTTCAAATTGTGATTGTGTTTAGTTTAGATTGAACTCTAATTCCCATCTGTTGACTATGCTGGCAAAGCATGATGGGAGTTGCAGTCCAACTTTACCTTGAGGACTACATGTTCCCCAGCCCTGCTTTATATGTCAGTGGTTGCCACTAAGTACCTTCAGTGTGTCCCTTTTAAATTATGCTGAGGATGAGTAAATAAAAGTTTTAAAGCATTATCAAGACCTTGAAAGGTAAATTAGTCCCTGCCCCACAGGCTCATGGTCTAATAGGCATAGGACAGAAAGGGAAAATAATGGGGAGGGAGGAGGAAAACAAGCATATACAGCTCCTAGTGCTTCAAGTTACAGAATTTAGAAGAACGACAGAGTGGTAAGAATGGTGCGGGCCATTTGTTCTGGATGGATTTGTGAAGTGCTTGGGAAAAATGCAACACCGTCAGATACATGAAAAATGAAAAGCCCTGCAGCACAGAGTAAAATCTGAAAGCATTTGCTGTATGGAAATTGCTCTAGCTTAATGATTAAGAAAAAAAGAGCTTTAGAGATTCTTTCTGAAAAATCCCTAAAGCTTTCCATTCCATGTATAGCTAGAAGAAGTACTCCGATGAGCATTCATGAGACACAAGGCTGTACTGCCTGTGAGATGTACAGTGCTCATTGCATTAGTGCTGCAGCTGAAAAGTTTTATGTCTCTGTATAATACAGAGGTTGCAGTGCACCTCTGGCAGTTATCGGCATCTAACTGTAAAAAATACAGAATACCAGTCTTCCTTCATGTGGCAGGCTTGACTGTTTTCCAGCTTGTCAGCAAAAGAATTTCATAACACATGGCAAAGGACTGGCTTTGTATAGATTCAGTTTCATTAGACTGCAGCTCCCATGCTGAAGGCATGGAATCTTGTATCTACTTGTCTCATTTCTGGTGGAAGACACTCTCTAAGCATTCCTCCTGGGATCAGCACCAGATTTAGCAGCTTGATCTCTTTATTCCTGATGTGTCAGATCTGCAAGGTTATCTCTCAGGGACTGCATCTTGGCTTCAGTCTGTAGAAGTTTCCTATGCAGGTAGATAGTTGCTTTTGCAGGGTGGGGCCAAACTATAGAGCCCATTATACCTCTCCGCATATTTGGTACTGTGATAATTAATCACAAATGTGCTCTTTAACAGAACTGAGGACACACTTCAGTATAGCATCTGAGAGTGACACAGCAGATCAGTGTGAGGACATTGAAGGTGAAGAGGAACATGAAGAACAGTCTTCAAACCCAGTTGTTCAGAGGCCTTGCCTCATGTTAGATGATGCTATAGCTACCTCAGGTGTAAGCACACTCAGTTCTACTGTATCTCACGATTCCCAGGCTGCCCAAAGATCCCTCAATGTTCAACTTGGAAGGCTCAAATTGGAAACCAACAGGTAAGTTATAGGATCTGAAGAGCTAAGATTGATTCCTCGTCATCTTATAGATGGACAAACTGGTAGACACACACACACACACACAGAGAAGGGGGGTTTTGGTAAATGTTTACAACATTTTAAACATTTAAATGTATACTCCTATGTCATATATGTGCACATTTGTATTAATCTGGATAACTTCGGCATGCCAGATCCGTTTCCTCATCTGGGTCTTGTTTAGTATTATCTAGCACCATCACATTAATCCAGGGGTGCATGCAAGGAATTCAGCCAAATTTGTTTGAAATTTAACCTATTTTAAAGTGGTTTGGGGCTGCTGTTGTTTTGTTTGCCTTAGTCAAATGAGTTGCCAAATATATCCCTATTAAGTTCTTGCCAAATAATAGCAATTAATCTTCATAACTATACAAATAACTAGGTCATTATAACAATTTGTGTACCAGAAACAAATGCAAAATACTAAACGCCTGGATGGCACAGGTCCAGAACCTTGTTTTCATTGTTGCTGATTGCCACTCAAAGTATATGATTGGAAACTCAATACCTAGAGAGAAAGAGAGAGTGTCTATGTGCATGTGTGCATGAGCACATGTGTGTGCGCTTATAAACAAACTAGCTTGTCAGATAACGGGAAGTTTTTGCTAGCTTTTTGAATGAGAACTGTTTAAAGAGCTTTTTCAAACCATAAATGTTCATGGTTGAAAGTAGTCATAAATGCTAGACTTTTTAACTTGATGGTGCTGCAGGATATTTAATGTTTACTTCTTCACTGAAGTCACTGACGAATCAAAACTGTCGTTGGCCTCTCCTGTATTTAGTGATAAAGGAAGGACGTATATGTGTTTGTAGATATCATACACGTACACAGAGTAAGGGGAAGGGAGTGAAAAACAAGTGAGCTTTAGAAAAGTTACTTTTTATTATTACCAAAGCTCATAATTTGATTACTATCAAAGCGCGTGGGTGGGTGGGAGTGCACATACGTGCATGTTCCTTTGGCCCTCAAAAAAATATGTCTTGGCGGCCCAATACCAGTCCGCAGCCCAGGGGTTGTAGACCCCTGATGTAGAGAGAGTCCTGTGCCTCCTTTCCAAAGCCGTAGGAGTCTTGGTCAAGGACTTGTATGAAGCACAATGAGGGATATTAGGGTAGGGAGGATTCTTAGTTCTTCTTTTCACGTCTTCTTTTTGCTTGTTTGTTTCAATTCATTGGCCACATTTTCCTCAGTAGACTTCAGGCGATGTACATGGCCCTTGGTTCTCATCCTTTTATCCTCACCACAACTATGTGAGGTAGGCCAGGCAGGGAGAGAGTGAGTGAGAGGATGCCTAGTTAGTTTCATGGCTCGGTGGGGACTTGAAAATGGATCCCTTTGCATCTGTTCCAGAACCAGAACAACCACACCACACCGGCTCTCAAGGCTGTAAATTTAAGCTACTGCTTGTAATTCATAATGGCAAACCAGCTTTCTTGTCTCTGCGGCCTTTTAATCAATGTGATTTCATCAGTATTTTATTTGAATTTTGTATGCAATATGCAGAATATGTCCTTAAAATTTACTATTCACCCAAGCACACATCAGGGGACGTGGTGGCGCTGTGGGCTAAACCGCAGAAGCCTGTGCTGCAGGGTCAGAAGACCAAGCAGTCGTAAGATCGAATCCACATGACGGAGTGAGCTCCCGTCGCTTGTCCCAGCTCCCGCCAACCTAGCGGTTCGAAAGCATGCAAATGCAAGTAGATAAATAGGAAACACCTCTGTGGGGAGGTAACAGCGTTCCGTGTCTAAGTCGCACTGGCCATGTGACCATGGAAGATTGTCTTCGGACAAACGCTGGCTCTATGGCTTGGAAACGGGGATGAGCACCGCCCCCTAGAGTTGAACACGACTGGACAAAAATCGTCAAGGGGAACCTTTACCTTTACCAAGCACATGCAGGTCTCATTGGTTTTGATGGAATAACTTGATTATGCATAGCAGCTCTCTCTTGTATCTGCAAAGCATGGATAATCTTGAGAAACTGAAGATCCTTCTAAGATCTTGTTTGTGACTATAAGTGGTGACAATGAAAGTAGACTGTTCTTATGTTCTTGCTTTGTACTTTCAGGTTGTTTTCAGCTCACTTGGCCCTTTATTCCCTATGAATTAATTGCATCCCAGCTCTCCTCCAACATCACATTCCAAATGATTCCCCCCCCTCATCATCTTTCTTGATAGCTTCGCTTTCACATCCATTCATAGTCATAGTAAGTATAATACTGTGGATTATTTTGGCCTTAGTCACTAGCATCTTGATCCCTAACACTTGAGGAATTTTTCTAATTCCTTCATAGCTGTCCCTCTGACTCTCAGTTTTCTGGCACTATGATTGTTCAGGTTTATCTAATTATGATATTAACAGTTCATAGTATGTTAATATCTCCTTCTTGTCTTGCTTTTGCAGAGGGAATACAGCTTCTCTATCATCTGCCTCCAAATATACATACTGTAGTCTGTTTGGTTTCCATATTGGTCATCTGTTTACATTGGCACATTCAGTTGCCTGAAATGTTTTTGCAATAAATTTTAACTTTATTGTTATTATGACCATAGGTCATCCATGTTAGGTACTGTATATGCAAAATATTGACTTCACAGAATCCTGACCCTTAGTTACGCTAAATTCTCCAGCAAAGTTTGGTATTGTTTTGTTTCCTACTTTGTGTTTCAGTCACCCCGATTATCAACATATTCTTGTCTGGTATATGATCAGCTTATTCTTGAACACTTCCATAGAAGATTTTAATTTCTTCTTCTCCATCTGTAACTGTGATGGAGATGATGGTTACTTTGATAAGTTTTCCACAAAATCTTATTGATATTATTAGATCAAATCCTGCATCATAGCTACATCTTGCCTCACTATTAACCCCCCCTTTTTTTAATCTATTCTTCCGTGGTTCTCAATCTTGGGCAACCCAGGTGTTCTTGAACCGTAACTCCCAGAAACCCTAGTCAGCACAATACAACTAGTGATGAAGGCTTCTGGGAGTTGCAGTCCAAGACTTCCTGGGCTAGCCAAGGTTGGGAACCACTGGTCTTCATTAAAATATCTTATTCCAGTCTACTCTAGTTTCTGCACTGCAAGTTTACCATATCTTTGGGCAAAATCCTCTTGATTAACTTTGTTCCAGCATAATCCAAAACAGGCTCTGGAAACATTCAAGTTACACCAAAAGCTTCCAATCCCCGTGTTTTACATTCCAAGGGTCCCTAGGGGGGTCCTGGCCTTGGGGAAGCCTTGGAAAGCCTTGGGATGGGAAGAGGGACTTAAATCTCAGAAATCACTGCTGGATCATCACCACTGTGATCAAGATCAACAGCAGTGATTTAGTGATGGTTTTTTACTTCTAAAGTTCTCCCCCACCCCACTCTGGTTCCAAGGCTTCCAAGGGCTTTCCCAGTGACCCCTTAAAACCTAAATCAAAGGGATAGGAAGCTTTTGATTACTGTAAATTTCTGCTGCTTGATCCAGGTTGTGCAAAGTTATGCTATAGGATTTTGCTCTATTCTTGTTTTACTATATCAATCTTACATTCATTCATACTTCCCACGTTTCATGTTCCAGTTATATCTTGTCATGCACCACTGGATTTTCCTTTTGCCTCTGTGTTCGTTAATGACTGTGTTCATTAATGTCCTTTTGGCTTTTATCCAATTATCCAATTGCTTCATTAGTGACAACACTCTTTGTACTTATCCTTTGCTTCTTCCCTGGTAGCAAATTGAGTACCTTCTGATCAGCAGATTTCATCCTACAGCACTATCTCTTGCTTTATTATCTCATCATAGATAGTAGAAGTAGTAAATTATTGCCTTCTTCTGCAAGGTACTAAGAGTTAACTTGATTGTTTGTATTGTTCTCTCTGGAAGATCCTCTGTCAGCATTACCTTATACTGTATCTCCAGTATGGAGAATTAGTGCAGGGAAATCGCCCCAGAGGGAGACCACAGCTGCGATACAAGGATACTGTATCTGCAAGGATCTGAAGGCCTTAGGAATGGACCTCAACAGATCAAAAACCTTGACATCTGAGCATTCAGCTTGGAGGCAGGCAGTGCTTCATGGCCTCTCCCATTCTGAAGAGACAATTGTCCAGCAGGCTGAGACTAAATAAATAAATAAATAAATAAAGAAAGAAAGAAAGAAAGAAAGGCAGTCCCAAAACAAGCAAAATCAGGGAGCTGGACAGATTGTATTTGTCTTCAGTGTGGAAGGGATTGTCACTCTCAAACTGGACTTCTCAGCCACACTAGACGGTGTTCCAAGTCCTCTATTCAGAGCACATTACCATAGTCTCTCGAGATGGAAGGATGCCTAATCTAATTACCTTCTACTGTTGCCACTGCTCTTCCAGAATTTCTTTGCCCCTTCATCATTGGAAATATTATCTTCTGCTGATGCCACCATTAATTCCTGAAAAGGATGAATACATCTGTTGTCACATCTTTGACCATTGTGTCTTTGGGTGACCTTGCCTGTAACAGACTCTAGCCTCCTGATGGTATGGCTCGCAGCTTCCTTGATATGCCCAACCCAAACCCCACTCAGCATGTTAAGTTGAGCATCCAAGAGGAGATACTGTACGATGGTATCTACTTCTCATAGATGTTAGTGGATTCTTGGCAAACACATGATGATGTTGTTTTTCTCTTCATCTCTCCCTTTTCTGTTTCAGACTTCTAGAAGAGCTAGTGCAAAAGGAGAGAGAATTTCAAGCCCTGTTGCATCACGCCATAGAAGAAAAGGAACAGGAGATCAAAAATCTGAAGCTTAGGACTCAACCAATAGGTGCTTCCCTATAACCTTCAAAAGCCATTGGTCTTTGAAGCAGTTTCCTGTCAAAGACTGTTAATGTCAAAGTTTTCTTCTGCATCCTGATTACAGCCCCCCCTTTTAAAAAAAGTCATAATGTGAAAGGCCCTTTTGTCATATTTTCTAGGCAGTTAGTTCTTTGATACCATTATATAATATATTCATACAAACCCAAGACTAAATATATAATTTCTTGCTCTAAATAATATTAATAACAGCAGCAAAAGATTCTGACTGTTCTAGGTTTGTGTGTGTGTGTGTGTGTGCGCGTGTTGTGGTGGTTTTTTCTACTTTTTGTTTTTTGTTTTTATTTATACAGTAGAGAGTTGTAAAACTGTATCACCTACTAGGAAAGTACTAATATTTTAAGCCAAGCTTTTTTCTAAGCAAATATATATATAAAAGTCTGGATTATCAGTCATTTACTTATAATTTGCAAAGTCTGTTATGTGGGCAGAGTAATAAGTTTCTGAATTGCTCCAGCATATGCTATTTTTGGAAGCTGAAAATTTTGCTGAACTAGCTAGTAAGGGCTAATTCTGAAATCCATCACCATAGAACTGCAGAGCTGGACTGAACCCTATGGCTTTATCTGTGCTTCACCTTTCTTGAACTAATGATAGGGCACATAGCATAACATTTCGTATGTGAGAGTCTAGATGGGAGGCTGGACAAGTTTATGGATCTTTATAAACATGCACTAACTGTCTTGTTTCAAAACATTGTTGTAGATATTCCTGGCACGTCTCCCTCTCATTTTAGCAATGCCGATGGAAGACTTGGAGATCAAGATTTGATAAATTGGCTTAGAGCTCATGGTGCTGATGAAGAAACCATAAACAGGGTAGGAAAGCTATTTTTTAAGTCTGTTCTGTTTTGTGATTTTGCAAAACCCAGAGGTTTAATGGCCAAACAACAACAATGTTCAGCTGTTGTGTTACCTGACCTTTTGAAGCAATAAAGGACCAAGGAAGACAACCTAAGTGAACTAACATTACTGAAAAGGCTTACAATCTTTGTTCAAGTTTAGAACCAGCACAAAGTGTTGAAAGATATTTCAGATGAGAACGCTGGAAGCTGTTGGTCAGATCTAGTTGGCCAAATTGTTTTACTGCCACTTTAACCTTTGATGCTGAATACAAAAGCTTCTGCATGCAAAGCAGTTGTTCTTCCATTAAAGAACAACAAGAAAAAGTCTTGCCGCACCTTAAAGATTAACAGTTTTTATTTGGCATGAGCTTCTGTGGAATACCTCAGGTGAAATAGGCTGCATTCTACAAAAGCTAATGCCAAATGAAAAATCTTGGTCTTTAAGGTGTTATGCTTTGTTGTTTTTACTGTAATAGTTTAACATGGTTGCCCTCTTGGAAATCTCTTCTATTAAAGCAGAGGTGAGCAACATGTAGGGCACATCTGGAGTGGTAGTGTAAAAAACGAAAACCATTAGTGGGCAAGGGAGAAACAAAACTATGCTACAACTACTGCTAGTGGTGAGCCTCACATTGGATCAGCTGTTAAATGCAGTGCTTCCCAACCTTGAGTCCCCAGATGTTCTTGGACTACAACTCCCAGAAATCCTGGCCAGCACAGCTCATGGGGAAAGCTTCCCCAAGAACATCTAGGGAGCCAAGGTTGGAAACCACTGCAGAGGATTTCTCCTTCCCTTGGAAAACTGTGGTGAAACTGACTTTTGAGTTCCTCTACCCCCAATTAATGTGGAATAGTTCAGGAATATATCTGATCAAAGCAGACTTGGAGCCATAACAGATTTTGTTGTATGCATTTTACCAGTTGGTGCTAGTGTTGTTGTATTAGGCTTTAAGGCTTTTATTTAAGGCATTTATATTTATCTGTTTTTTCTCTTTCTTCCTTTTGAAAAAAAAATGCTGGTGCCCATTATCCCTGTGTATTTATATGAAGGAGTAGTTATGGGAAAATTGGGCATTTTCAATCTCTTGATGGCCACAGTCCAACAAAAAGAGTTTAGCACCTTTAACCCCGTTGATTTGGGCTAGCTTAAGCATCCTTTGCTCTGTGTTGGACTTTTGCTGTTGACAGCGGTTCTCTGTTAAGAGTTGACCAGATGAAATTATCCTTTAGCTTGTGAATACTAACCTTTCAGAAGAATATGAACTCATCTTGAGTTGTTATGTGCTGTAGAAACCCTTGAACAAAAACATTACATTCCTGTTATGAGTTCTGCATGAACTGTGGAGAAATAACGTTTGATTCAATCAGGGATTTCCCCGAAGTTGAGGGGAGGGGAGACCCGACTGACAGCTTGCGGCAGAACCTGCATAATTTTCATTACGGTTTCTTCTTTTAGTTCTTGGCAGAAGACTACACACTAATGGATGTTCTCTGCTATGTTACACGAGATGATCTAAAATGCCTTAGACTCAGGTAACTCCCTTTTAAAGAAAATAACTCCAAAGTATTCAGTTTTTCAAAGGGCTTATTGTTATTTATTTGAAGTTGTTACTGATAAACTCTGTTTAAAAGGTGCTGAAAGTGACATCATCCTTCAAATATTTAATAAGTACACTCATTCAATATTGGTTGGTGACACATTCGTACAAATTGTATTTCTATGTTTTAGCCCGCCTAGAGTGGGCTAATATGTCCAGATAGGCGGGATAGAAATAAAATAAATAAATAAATAAAATAAAAATAATGCATCTCTCTAAATTATTGTAATGAATATCACAAAATCAGTATATACTCTCTTCACGTATGCTGTTAGGACACTATATGTAACTAGATGTGCACAGAAGCCCATTCTGCACTGAACTCTCTTTACATGAGCTGGTTTCATATTCCAGCAGTTTATTTGCTAAATTGCATTTACAGTAACATTTTGAAAAAAAAGTAATTGAGCATGTCTGGTAATTAGCAGACTTCAGCATTCTTCTTTTCAAGTAACATTGCTGATTTCAGGGGCTACATCAGATATTCCAGGGCCACTTGTTCGGTAAACCTTTTCTATATCCCCAGTGGAATCCACGCCCCACCTTTCTTTGTTGTTTGTCCCAAGTTGTGAAACTCCATAAATAAAAATATTGCAGGGCCTCTTGTTCAGTAAACCTTTTCTATATCCCCAGTGGAATCCACGCCCCACCTTTCTTTGTTGTTTGTCCCAAGTTGTGAAACTCCCTTCCAAGGAAGGCTACCGGCCCCTCCCTTTGGTCACTTCACTGTTGGCAAAATGGTGTAAAATAAATAAATAGCATCTACTCCCAAGTTATCTCCAACCTTTCCCCATAATCAGGACTGAAGCTGTCTCCAAAGCCTCCAGTGGTATTCCCTCAGTCAGGGTGCTGGCTGGAAGACTCTGGGAGGCATGGTCCAGAAAGGAACTTTTCTAAGCTCTCATTTTGAATCTGCTCAAGAGTGTCCATGGTTGTCTCAAGGAAGGCCTTTTGAAAGTGTGACTGAAAACGGCTGTGATCTTCTTTTACAGAGGAGGCATTTTGTGTAGTCTGTGGAAGGCCATCAGTGACTGTCGAGAGAAGCCTGCCTGCCCTTGAGTAAAGGAATATCCTCCATCTCCAAAGACGGCTGGAGCCTTCCTGCACCGCAGAGCAAGAGTGCTCTCAAAGAGATGCTGTTGCACTTTAAGCCAGTATTTACTGTTGTAAAGATCAGTGCAGCTTTCTGACTGCATTGATTGCCAGTATCCCTGAGAAAAATGTCTACAACATTAAATAGGATTTTAGAGGGGGGGTTGTTTGTTTGGTGTGTGTGTTTATACATAGAGTTCTCCTTTTCTAAAGTCCTGAAACCAAAGTTCCCTCTAATTCTCCAGAGCTCTATGCAGAGGCTCCGCCCCCTGCACACGGAGTTCCAGCTGCAAACAGAAGCAAGTGGGCGGATACACACGCTCGCTTGTCTGTGTGGCTTAGAGGGAATGTTGCTGTAACATATAACAGAACCAAATGTTGATATAACACAAACCTGTTGTAAGATATTATGGAACTGGACATCACTGAAGAAAAAAAACAGAAAACAAAATGTGAAACTTTTAAGATTTTTAAGTGAAGATGAATAACCGAAGCCTGAGGTTAGGATGATTCCTAGGTCCTTCTGCTGCCACACACCCTGTAATATGACAAGGAGATAACTCAGTTCACCCCAGGGTAGCTTTGGATGCAATTCAGAGCTTCCCCATGGGTAACTGAGTAGGAGGGCTTGGTTCATGATGAGACGGATAAGGGCTCATGCATGTTTTTTTGCTCAAGGTCCTTGTTTGTTTTCAAAACCTGGAAGAGAAGTCATAGTTGAAATGACTGTGTCGAGCTAATTGGGTAGCTTTTTCTTCAAGTATACTGAACACCTCAGTTGATACTTCTAGCCCTCTCTGAATGTGTATATTAATTTTATTTTTAGTAACTTAAATCCCATTCCACAATGCATTTGTGAAGTTCTTTTTAGTCTTGTTTATGTGCTACTGAACTGTACCAGTTACATATGCCTGAAATACATATAGTATTGTTAGCTTGTTCTAAAGCTATTCATTGTGACATACAGTCAATTAATAAAGAATAATGCACAATTCTAATACATTGGTGGTTTTAAAGTTATAAATGAACGGTTGAATGACAACACACAGGAGGACAATTAATTAAATATTTCTTCGAGCAAAAATAAAGGAGGCAAAAATATCTGCCCAGATGCTGAACTGCACTACCTAAAATGCTACAAGAAAGGAAAGGGAAGAAAGCACCTAAACTCACATCCTCTTCTGTGACCTTCTTACTGAGATGGAAGATGTTAGGCCAGCCACAGCAGATAAGAGACCAGGCCCGGGGAGCCAGTGGCAAGGACTCCCAATGTTGGAGGAGAAAACGCGAGAAAGAGTGCCAGTATTACCTCCCCGCAGAGCAAGGGAAGATTTCAAACGTGGCGAAAGAAAGAACTTGGACCCCAGCACAGCACGTACCCTGCCCACATTGTGGGTGGCCTGGCCTTTGCTTTTGTGGCCTCTGAGTTTGGGCCAACATGTCTTCCTATGATGAACAGAACTATAGATTCTCTTCCCCTAACTGCAGTTTTTTTTGGGGGGGGGGAGAAAAGTGGGACTAAGCCAGGGCTAGGTTGACCAGGCCAGATCTGTCCCATTGTATCCCCCTTCCCAGTTGGAATAAACCCTGTTTGTTTGGAAGCTCCTGTTGCTGAGTCGATGGATTACAGGAGGGACTATCTGCCAACCTGGCCTGGGCCTGCACTCACACTTATAATTTATTTGTCGTCAGGTTAGCATTTGACAACTGCAGTGCTGTGTTAATGAAGCACTTAGGAAGGTCTAATTGTTGATGCAGCATGATGATAAGTTGGTTTAAAGGACCTGAATTTTGTTAACAGAATCGCCACCTTAAATGAAGTTCAGATTCATTTGTTTAGGAATACTGTACTTTGATTGTTTTATTGATTGAAAACATTTGTTTATGATCTTTCTGCCCACCAGGCCTCCTCAAAACTCTGTTTATAGGCAAATGGCTCATACTTCTCTCAGCCTATCCACAATCAGTCTGGAAGCAGAGTGATGCTGTACTGTCTATCTCTGTATCCCCTCCTAGGCTTTATTTCCATCGGATGTGTTGATTTTTAATCACCTGCTAGCTACACTGTAGCCCTTAGAGACTATAAAACGATCTGCGACGCTTACCACCTGCTGCACCTCCTTGCTGTACTTTGGCTCCTATTAATTAGCCTGTTTATACGTGTTGACTCTGCCCTGGATCTCCAGCCGCAGCCAACGGCTTTCGGTCAGCAGCAACTGCTAATCGGAAGCCATTCATTCTCGTAAACTTGCGCGTTCCCACGGCCAGCAATGGCTCCACTCGCCGTCTGGACGCGTTTATACAATCGGAAGGGAAAAGGGTTAGGGTTCCACGGGGCCCGGGTGAGATCCTGCGGCCACGAGATGCTGATAAAGAATACGATTGTGCTAATCGAAACGCCAAGGAAAGCGGGATGAGGACGGCTGGCTAGGCAGTAAACAGCCTTTGCTTACGACTCTTGTCGATCTTTTCCGGCTTTATAAACATTTGCAAGTTTCCGGATGCGTTTAGTGCTTTAAAAAAAACCCAAACCAACAGCCAGACGCCCCATGCTGAGCCCCGCTCTGTTAATCCACTTTATGGCTGGGGGGAGGGGGAGCTCTGAAAGGCGCAGAAAGAAGCCCTCCAATGGAAGCAGCCGATGGCTTCCGCTTGTTTTCCCACTTAATCTGCTCCTCGGCCCCCAACCCCCGCCTGGATTGGGCCGTCACAAGCACGTCGTCCTCGACCTGCCCCCTAGGGGGCGCCTGTCGGCTACAAACCAGAGCCGCCGCCGCCGCGCCGTCTGCC